TTATTTTGCTCTACCTTAACTCCTCAAAGGTTTAACTGTGATTTATAAGAATGAAATCAACCAAATTGACAAACATAAAACAAAATTCACAAATAAAGTCAAGGTCAGGCAGGATATTGTAACTGTGATAAACTGTTATAAACCTGTAAAACCAAAATTCAGCCACAGAATGGACTTCTAGTGGTTAAAATAAAAAGAACTCCGATATTTGAGTCACAGTGGCATAAGGAAAACACAAATGAGGTTTTTGTTTTGTTTTTTTGTAGAAAAGGCAAAACTCTGCCAACATTTAGCTCTGAAAGAAATTTTTCTTTTTTTTTTCTGAAAGAAATTGTCAAGTGAATTTCTTAAGTCTTTTAATGAATGCTAAAGGCATAAAATCAAAGTAATTCAATAAAAGCATTTCTTGAGGGAGAAGACAGGCCAAACCAAAGGAACTGATGAACTGTGACTGAATGTTATGCTAGCTTCTGTAAATGTTTAGGACCAGGTGTTTTTAAAGATTTATTTATTTTAGAGAGAGAGTACCGGTGAGGGGGGGGAGGGATGGGAGAGAGAATCTTAAGCAGACTCCCCACTGAGCTTGGAGCCCAACGCGCAGCTCCATTTCATGACCCTAAGATCATGACCTGAGCTGAAATCAAGAGTCAGATGCTTAACTGACTGAGCCACCCAGGCACCCCTTGTTTTGTTTTTGTAATTGTGGTAAAATGTATCTAACATAAAATTTACCACTTTGACCATTTTCCAGTGTAGAACTCAGTGGCATTAAGTGCATTCATGTTATTGTGCATCTATCACCATTACCCATTTCTGAAACTCTTAGCATCGTCCCCAACTGAAACTATACCCATTAAAAAATAACTCCCCTTTCCCTTGTCCCTTGGTAAATGTAATTCTTTCTGTCTCTGTTCTAGCTCATGTAAGTGGAATCCTATAGTATTTGTCCTTGTGTGTCTGGCTCATTTCATTTAGCATAATGTTTTTAAAATTCATCCATGTTGTGGCATGTATCAGAATTTCATTCCTTTTAATGACTGAAATAATATTCCATTGTATGTATATACCACATTTTAATCCATTTTTCTGTTGGTGTACATTTCAGTTGTTTTCCACCTTCCAGCTGTTGTGAATAACACAATGACCATGGGTGTACAAATATCTGTTAGAGGTTCTCCTTTCACTTCTTTTGGATATATATCCAGAAGTGGAATTGCTGGAATTTTTTGAGGAACTGCCATACTGTTTTCTATAGCAGCCGTATCATTTTACTTTCCACCAGCAAAGCCTAAAGGTTCCAGTTTCCTCACATCCTCACCAATACTTGTTATTTTCAGTTTCTTTGATAATAGCCATCCTCATGAGTGTAAAATACCTCATGGTTTTGATTCGCATTTCCCCAGTGTTGAGTGATAACTGCAATCTTTATGTGCTTATTGGCCATTTATGTATCTTTTTTGGAGAAATGCCTGTTCACGTCCTTTGCTCCTTTAAAAACTGGGGTGTTTTATTTCTTTGTTGCTTAATTGTAGTAGTTTCCAGCCAGGTTTTTGATGAAAGAGTTTGAAGTTATATTTTCCTGAAGCATAGGTATTTATGTGACTGATGAATGGCAGATGGATTTTAAAGGTTACTTAGATGGGTGGTCAGTCCAAGTATGAATCCCAAGTATTCCATACTGCTAGTACTTGTAGGAAGAGTACTAACAGGGGCACTTGTAGGCAAAAAGCTGAGATTTTCCTTAATTTAAGAGGTTACCACTTAAACAGATGATGCTTAGGTCCCCAAAGTTCTTATAGAGCATGGTTTTGGCCTGGAAAATTGCTCAAGCAGGAATCATTTACCAAGGCCATAGAAAAATCTGAAGAGTATACCATTCTGCTGAAAATGTTCTAGACTTTGATAGTGGTGGTGATTATACAATTTTATGAATATATTAAAAACCGCTGACTTGTACACTGTAAAAGTGAATTTTATGCTGTGGGAATTATATCGCAATAAAAGAAAGAAAGAAAGAATACCCACGGAATATTTGGTTTTAGAAGTAATGTAGTTCCTGGTGAGCCTGCCAGAGTTGTGAAATGTATCTGAGTAGCCACATTAATGATGTTTTTTAATTTATTTATTCAGCAAATGTTTATTAAGAGCCCATTATGTGCCTGGCTCTGTGTATACACCAGTGAATAAAACTAAGTCACTACTTTCAAGGAGTTTGTGTTGTAGTGGGAGAAGGTAATATAATGTGATATCAGGTAATGATAGATTCTATGGAGAAAAAGAAAGCAGAAACGGGGTAGTGACAGCAGTTTGCAGTGTTAGATAGGATAGCCAGCGAAAGGTTCTCTGAGGAAGTAAATTGAAGCAGAGAAAAGATTGAGTGAGCAACTGAAGAGTGTATCAAAGAAGGAAGAGCATCTCAGTTTGAGGGAACAGAAGTACGTAGGCCTTGTGGCAGAAACTTGCTTGGTGTGTTGAAGGCACGGCAAGAAGGCCAAAGCAGAGGCACCTGGGTGGCTCAGTTGGTTAAGTGTCTGCTTTCAGATGAGGTTCAGGTCATAATCCCAGGGATCTGGGATTGAGCCCTGTGCCCCGGGCTCCCTGCTCAGCGGGGAGCCGGCTTCTCCCTCTCCTCCCAGCTTTGTGCTCTGTTGCTATCTCTGTCTTTCTTAAATAAATAAAAATTTTTTAAAAAGGCCCAAAGCAGAATGATGTAGGGGAAGAATGATAAAAAGGTTGGAGTGGTAGTCATAGAGAGCCTTTTAAGTGATTGTGGTTTCTAAAAGTAATAAAGTTTATTACCGTATGTGGAAGGAAACCTAAACATTTTCATGTAGAATTAGAGTTTCCTGAAATAACTATAAAGGTCACTCTGAATTGTTTAACTTTCTCTTAGGAACTTACTTTGCTCTCTTTGTTAGCACATAATTAAAAAAATTACTATTCAGTTCTTTGGTTTGGGTGTTCTAATATAAAAGTATTTGATAATTTAGCCATAGATTTTGTACTCTGAATTTTGTGACTTTTTTATAGCTGAATTTTTGGAAAACTTTAAAATCACAACTTATTCACAAGTTAGAGACTGTTTTCCTCAACATATTGTTTTAATGTCTAATAGAAATGTTACATGACTAAGAGATTTAAAAAATTATGTTGAAACAAGCTTTATTACATACTCTACATCCATCAATGTTAACTTTACAGAATGTTTATATGAAACCCAAAAGTACTACAGTAGTAAAAGAAAGCTAATCTATTAATTATAGGTAATTGTTGGTATAGAAAGGTCTCAGTTAATAAGTTCTCTGACCAATATTACCTAATATTTTAGGTAGTGTTACACTATTTTCCTCCTGTGTTACTATACTAATATATTTTCTTTTGATTTAAAGCTTGCAAACACAGAAGAATACATAGATGGAGCATTGTCTGGACATTTGGGTGAAGTTTTAATAAGGTAACAAAACAGCAGTAGTATATATATGGAGTGACTGGAGAGCATTAGAAATACCTGTTTAAACAGACTAGTGCCTCAATTTCAGAATCACTTTAAATCACAATTAATTTAACATATTCTACAATTAAAGAATTTTGAAATTCTTAAACTTGTCCAAGAGGATGGAAATTTTTTGGTTATTCATCCTTAAGATTTTTCTAGTGATGATAGTAAACTTTCTAGCTCGTAGCTGTAACCTTTTTCAGAGGTTTTAGTTGCAAGAGCTTGGTTTTGAATTTCAGTTGGATCTGGCTGCTGTTACGGATTTTTGTTCTATTCATTTTCTTGAACTAGAGTCACACTCTCAAATTTGAGTCATTCCTTTTGGAAGATCATAAAGATACTATTTTATAACATCCACTGGGTGGATAAGTGCCATGTGCTTTTTAACAAACCAATGGTGAAAACATTTTTTAAAAAAGAAAGAAATGATACATTGTAAATTTAGCATTCAGTATTTTTATAATCAAAAATATCTAGCAATAGTAATTCAGATTTTAATGTGGTTTCCGGTTGGAACAACAAAATGGATTGTTTTTCTATTTACAGGTGTAATAATGTCCTTTATATCAGGGGTGTTGAAGAAGAAGAAGAAGATGGGGAAATGAGAGAATAGCATCTTTTGTGGGGAATCTTTTTTATATATATTTCTAGACAATAAACATTTTTTTTTTCAACTTGACTCATGAACTCTTCCTATTCAGATATTTAAATGTAGAGCTCAAATGTTGAAACAGTTGAAAGATTATTCGGAATTAATACTTTAAGAGCCATTCAGCTTCATTCAAGTTGGTTTTCTTTTGTAAGCTCAGTAATCTTTTTTTCTATGGGGGAAAATTATATGCTTCATAAACATTTATGAAAGTGAATTTCAGCCCTTGTAATTCTCTATTAACTGAGACCTTTTAAAAACAACTGTTTCTTTTAAAGTTATTTTTGAACAACTTTTGACATGTATTAAGTTAAATATTTTCTTAGAATTAACATATACGGTTTTATTTTACTTAGTAGCTAACAAATTACATGTTAATTCTCTGTCAGTGTAAGCTAAGTAATGTACATGTTATAGCTAAAATTGAAACATCACCTGAAAATGAAAATGATTGTGGATATAGAGCACAACAGAAATTATAAACTGATATTTAGGCTAAAAGCATTTGGTTTGTTCACTTAAGAGAATTAAGTGTTCTGAACAGAACTCCTTAATGTGAATTAAAAACCAGTCTCACAGTTAAATTCTGAGGATAGTACTAGTGGTTTTCATTTATGTTTTAAACTCCTCAAAACCATTTAGAGTTATACATTGTTAAAATGTATACTCCACAGTGATAAAATATATACTATGAACTGTGAACTGGTTGAAAACAAATGAGATCATTTAAAGTCCCATGTTGTCAGAGAATGCCATTATTGCACTTTAATGGTCATTCACCACACAGTTACACCAATAAAGTAGACTTTGGATGTGTATCCCCAGCTGGGACAACTCAAAGATAAAAATGTTTAGCTGTATGGAATTTTACTTGGTATATGATAATAAAAGGCTTCAACAAAAGAAAAGAACTCCCATTCCCAATCCTATAACCACTAGAATAAGTGCTGTCTTCCTCAAATTACTCAGACCAGCATACGGGGCAGAATACTGCCATTAATGGAAACCAGAATCTACAAAATACGCCTAAAAAATTCTGGTAATAAATGTCTTACTGCTTCTATTCAAGTGAAAAAATATTCATCCTCTAGTGATTTTGTTCTTGTATCCTTGACTAAAAGTAGTTCATGTTTGTTACCAGATGGCGGTTTTGAGCGATAGACAAGTCGTCTTCCCAGCTGAAACAAAAGAAGAATACTTAATATTTTTTAGCATAACTATCTATGTTCTGTTGAAACATAAGTAAAATAATAACATTAACTTGATTTTTCCAAGGAATAACATGACTCAAAACCTAATGGGTGTCCAACATGCTAGGCAGAGTTAAGTAACAAAGAGAGCACCATAGAAGGCAGGAGACCGAGCGGTTAGGTTTTATGGGAAAGTCGGGAGATTCAGGTAGTCCTCGAAAAGCCTGTGTTTCAGATACAGTCGGCCTAGAAAAGCGCCATGTTTGAGGCCAACATTTCATTTCTCAGGGCCGTAGCAAGGTTCTCTTCCATTGGTTAGAAGAGATGAATTTCCTCTGCTGAACACCAATGGACTGGCATTTAAAAATTCTATTAGATAAAAACTTGAGGAAACCACATACATCATCTTAAACACTAGTAATCCTATTGGCTCTTAGATGTGTTCCCACCAGGAGAGGCTTAGGGAAAGCCCTTGATTTGTACCTATTCATTCTCTGGGGCATATACTCAAGTATATTATACTACTCATTATTTTTCTCTTTTAGTCTTTTTTCCCCTTACTTTATGTATTTATTTGGTTTTGCTTCTGTATCTGAATTTGTATAAATGAAATGGATGAGAAAGCTATTCTGTTGAAAATGAGATTTGATGGAATATCTCCACTGTGTCTCAGAAGAGGCACTATCACTATGTGAGACTGTCCCCTGCATTGCAGAATTTGACATTCCTGGCCCATGGGAATTAACAATGGCAGTCCTTCCCATCATTTTATCAACAAAAATGTCCTTAGGGACTGGAACCCCCAAATTCCTTTCTTAATATCAGATTTTTTTTCCTCTGTCAACGATCTTTTTGTAACCCTCGTTATCAATACTGTCTGAAAAAGTTGCCAGTGATGAAGTGCCTTGACTAGATAAGAACTTCTGTCAGAGGTCTTTGTACATTGTCAACTGATCAAATGGGCATTATTTTTTTTTTTCATTTTTCTTCCTATTTTAGTTTTCACTCTTAATTTTTAGTCTGCTAATTCAATAAGCATTGAGCATCCACTGTGTGCCAGGCACTGGGGACACAAAGTCATAAAAACTCACTCATGGTCTAGAAGGAAAGATGGATCTATTAAAAATAATCATTTCAACTTGGTGAGCTTAGTGAATAGTAGTATGTATACGTGGAAGGGTGATGAATGGTTAATTCGCCTTTGGGAGAAAGAGGACAAGTCCGGTCTTCATAGGAAGAGCTGAACTAGACAAGTCAGACCCTTTTTAAGGTGAAATGCTTATTTAGATGAAATTAAGATAATCAACACTTTTTGACATACATATTAACAGTTACTGTATTTCAGAAGCTTTTTCAAGTACTTACCTCAAAAGGCTGGTTGTGAGGCACACAAGAGGCATTCACTGTAGGTTAGCTATTACTGTGGTAAGAATCAGTGTCCATAGTAGCTTTGCAGATAACCATGAAATTAGCTTCCCCAAGTATATTTCAGACCTTAACCCAGAGGAAGGAGAGCTGCATATAGAAACACAAGGCCCTCCGTACCCAGTGGGAAGTCATGGACCACGTACTCAGTGACTGCCCAATCCCATACTTATTATTGGATAGGTAATCTTGCAATATAAAGAACCTTGACTTCTGGTCCTGGACCTGCTGCTAAATCTGAAGTGACTCTGGGTAAATCATTTTAACATCAACTATTAATCTCATTATATTTTATAAGGTGAGGATTAGAAGACCCTTCCAATTATATGCAGTTCTTTGGATTTGCTGTGTCCATTGTTGACTGAAAATAGCAAGGCTCATGTCTGTTATTTGTGAGAAGAAGATATACATAAAGACATAGACTATTTCCAGAAGGATGCAGATGAAACTTTAAGAGATTGCATCCAGGAAAGGGAACTAAGGATGACTTAATTTTCACTAAATACTCTTGTATCTTTTGAACTTTGAGCCGTATGCTTGTTATTATGTATTCAAAAAATTAAAGAAAAAATTACCTGGTTTCATGAACCTGGAGCTAAAGAAAAAGAGAGGGGAAAGGTTTCTTTTACTAAAAAGTGCGTCTAATGGAGAACTGTAGACCCAGAAATTTGAATTATCCTCAAAGTTAACAGGGAATGAGAGACCAATCAAAGCTGGATAAATTATATGAATTAGGTATTTTGTTTTTATACCACAGAAGCACTCACATATTGATGTAGCTGGACCTATTGGTAACAAAACACAAACCTTTTTCTTTGGTTGTGCTACTGCTCTTTCCAGAGCAGCTCTTAGCCTTTCCTCCTGGTGTTTTTGTTTTTCTTTCATTTTCTCTTCACGTAACCTGTCAAAAAAGGAAAACATTCTTGTAACTGTAAATCACAGAAAGTAAAAAAAGACCTACATTACTTTTGGGTAATAAACTGCCTAAATATTATAAGATATCCCTAAGAGTTAAAATAAAATAATAATTCACCTTCACCCATACTATGGCTTTTGAATATTCAGGTGGAATCTCAACAACAGATCCCTTTTGTGTTAAGATGGGAGAAAATTGCTTGTCACCATTTTGGAAGAATTAAAATCTACCCAGATCTTGGTCTAAAACAAGCACCTCAGCAAAACCTTCTTGTCACTCTAATTACATTTTAGCACTTCACAGTTAATGTGTACAAGGCCTCTTGAATTAACAGCCAGACCCCCAGTAGCCTTTTTACTACAATATAATGTGCAGAAAAGCGCACAAACCACAGTTTTTATATATATATATATATATAAAAACTATATACATATATATACATAGTTCATTGAGTTACCACAAAAGCGTACTTTTCCAGTTAACCTTTCTGAATGGTATCCTGAAATTAAGACCAAGAAATGCTATTTGTCTTGTTCTCTTTAGGGTTGTTGTGAGGATAAAATTAAATGAAATGACCTATGTAAACTGTCTAGGCCAATGCCTGGTGCAGAATAGACTCTCAATAAGTGATAGCTATTTTATGGACTTAAACAGTTATAACATTTACTGAACATTTTTTATGCAAAATTAGGTGTTAGGTACCTGGGAAAAAACAAAATTCTCTTTTTGATAAGAAGGATAAGCAATTGGAACTAGGTTCATACATCACTATTGAAAATAAGTTTCAATGAGAATATATTTCCGACTGTAGAAAAGATCCAAGCGCTGTTAATGTAATCAGTCATAGGTCATCGTACAGAAGGAGTGATTTTTTTTTTTTATAATTTAAAAAAAATTTTGCTTTAATGAAATCCCATCAGGATCACCTTAATGTATTCTGGACTTTGTTTTGATATGGAGGAAACCGTATCCCCCATATACCAGTAAGCCATAATAAAATATCTAACATTAACGCCTAATGTTTGAATACTTACTATGTGCCAAGCACAAACCCTATGAGATAAGTATCATCATTACTGCCATTTTACAGATAAACTGAGGCTTAGGAGAGGTTATGTGCCCTACCTAAGGTCACAGAGATTGTAAATGGCAGAACCTGCATTGAAGCCAAGCAGATCAGCCGTAGTGCTAGTCTCCCTCTTAACTTTTTTTGTTATTGTTGTTATGACATGAACAGCATTCCACCTATGGGCATTCTCTACATGCCACATTATACTAGGGGTCATATATTTATAATCATTGCCTCAAAAGTAGTTATCCTTATTTAACTCGGTATGGAAGTTTGTAAATCAGTGCATTCTCCTGGAAAGGCAGGCAGGCAAGGATGTGGGTATGTCAGGGTGGGGAGGGGGTGCTGTTCCAGGGATGCTAATCCTCATGAAGTTGTCTTGAGGAATCAATGAGTTAATGTGTAGATGCTGTGTGTGTAAGTGTTGCCAGTTATGCACTAAGAAGAACCCTCATTGCATGGCTCTGACTTTCAAACAATTCCTTCATATATAGTCTCCTTGCAGTGAAGGGTCCTAATTCTGTGCCTTGGGCTTTTCACTACAAGTGCAACCTCTTCCACAAGATAGCTCTTAATAATAAGTAGTGAATATTCATTCTGAAAATCCATTTTTTCAGGCTAAAATGACCCTTTACGCATCTCAAACTAGATCAGTTGTTGCCTCAGTGAACTCTTTCCTTCACAGTGCTCATTGCTTGGTAATGACACATTATTTCATAAGAATATTTGATGAATGTGTCTTCACATTAAATAATAGCTCTGAGAAGGGTAGGTCTGGGTTTGGGTCTACTACATCTTTATTGCAATCCTTGCCATGTAATAGGGGCTTGCTCAGGGTTTGTGGAATCCCAGCAAGAACAGTTTATCTCATTAAGTCATTCACTACACTTCTATCATAAGACATTGACTGTACTTTTGTCGCCGTTCTTTCTGTTTTATCCTCTCAATTGCCTCCACATTTTCTTTGGGAATGGATTCAATGAGATCACTCAATTCTACCAGGCGAGACTCTACTTTTACCAGCTTTTGAACTGGATTGAGGCTGCCAACATCAGCATCTCCAATGCAGACTTTGTATACTTGATTAATTTTTTTACTAAGAGAGTCTATCAGTTTTTCCTGAGATTGAAAAGAAAAGGGGAGCAGAAAACATAACATCACTATTTTCTTGTTCATTCAATAAATCCATTTTACTATATTATAATGAAAAGGCTCTTATATGATACTACATATTTTTAAAAGAAAAACTTTAGGGGCGCCTGGGTGGCTCAGTCGGTTAAGTGCCTGACTTTGGCTCAGGTCATAATCTCAAGAGTCCTGGGAATGAGCCCCCCTGCTGCTCAGCAAGGAGTCTATTGTCCCTCTCCTCCCTTTGCCCCTTCCCCCCGCTCATGCTCTCTCTCTCTCTAATAAGTAATCTTTAAAATAAAAGAAAAACTTTAATATAACATAGAACGGTGAGAAAATGCAACAGTGATATATCATAATTTATAGTTAGATTATTACTCTAGTAACACCTTGGACTATTTTCTTTCAAAAATATTGCATTCTTATAAAAAGCAATTTTAATATGACAGTATCTTTTCTTGAGTGTTTTTGTGTACCTGATTCCCTGAGTATTCAAGTAGAGGCAATGTATATATACATTTTAAATCCCTTTTTTTTTTGCCACTCCAGTGCATTTACTTGCAACACAGCTTGTGAGCTCCGTTTTTTTGTTTTGTTTGCACTTAACTACTTTTCATTGCTGACTACAATCATTCTGTATGAAAGCTATTTGCGTACATGCCTTATTTCCCCTTCTAGACTGTAAGCACCTGGAGGGCAGGAGTTATTTCTTATGTTTACACTTAACTAAAATTAAAATAGCACCTTGCACACAACTATGCACTTAATAAATGTTTGCTGAATAAATGACTGAATGCATTCTCTCAGAGGAAAAAAAAGTTAAAAGCAAACAGATTGCCAGGCTGACCTACAAAGTCTTTTAAGGAGTTTAATTTTCACTCTTGCAATTGGAAGCCATTGGAGTATTCTGGTCTAAGCAGAGACTTAGGCCAAACCTTGCTGATCCCTGTACCTGGCCACTGCGCCGTCTTAACTGTTGGTAGATATGCTCGAGCTTGTAGGTAACGTATTTCGGGACCAAATAACTCTCAGCCTCTTTCTCCACCGTGAACCTGGCATTCGCAGTTAAGAGGATCTCAATAAACTGCTGGGCAAAGTAAATCGTTCTCCAGGTAGCATCCTGCCCAAATTCCTGCTTCTGCTCAAGAAGATGAGAATCATCATGAAGCCAAGGACAAATAACACTCAAGACCGATGTGGTGCCAGGAGCCATGGGAAACCCCTCCTGGAATCACAGACTCCTTACAGAGCCACCAACACTTAATTACAAGTCAAGATCTGTTACCAATAGTTAACTTCCAACAGCCTGTCTCTCCCACCTCCTGGTTTAACCACCTTTCTGATGTCCTGTTTACCACTAAGCACCCCCTTTTTTTCTCTCACGCTTACTGTATTTCCTGTTACATTAAAAACATGCTCCTTTTTACACCTGAAACCTGATATAACTTTGTTTACTGGAATTAAAATTCACAACTTTTAAAAAAAAATCCTCCTTTTAGAAAACTTGGAAAAGCACAAAGAAATTAATATTAAAGGAAAAAGTAAAAGAAAAAAGCAAAAGGCCTATTTGCCATAAAGCTCTTTTTTGCTTTCCCTTTCTATATAACATTTATTATATTTCCTATTTATATCTGTGTATTCCTTTTAGAAAACTTTAGAAATACAGAAAGCTATAAAAGGGAAAATAAAAGCAATCCACCCATCAAGGAGAAGTATATATTGGGTATGTAGAAACAATCTTGCTGCAGTGGGAGTCCTATTTTTAAAAAATATTTTGAACTCTGGTTCTGAGAAAAAAGCAACTTTAATATGAGAATGGTTAGTAGTTGATGAAAATTTCTGAAGGAGAGCTCTTGAACACTTAAGAGTTTTAGAGGTGATAGGCAGTGGCCTTTCAGGATGTCTTTTCCAGAATGCCTTTTCTTTAAGTTCTCCTTGTCAAACAGGAAAGGTTAAGACAAGGAGAGATGTTTCCTTAAGATAAGATAAGAACAGCCTAAGAAATAGGATTAGGGAATGAGGTTAAGGAATAAATATTCCTGTATGAGAAAAAGATTAAGGGCCCGGCCCAACAGAGCAGAAGGGCGAAGGAAAAAGGGAGATCAAGGTCCAGGCCTACTGATGGTGGAGTGAAATGTCCAATCTCTGGAGCTGCCACCAGATGGCAGACCCAGCCCAGAGTCCTTCAGAGGAGGGGCTGCCCAGGAGGCTGCAAGGGATGGGAGGAGCTGTTGCTCTGAGAGGTAGAGTCGGCCAGAATTGTGGAAGACCAAAACTGTGATAAGTAAGGACTGGATGCCTTCCAACAGTGAATGAGAAGTGATCTGACCAGAGTAATGTTGAGGAGTAATTATATCAACATTGGATAGGGGAGCAGGAGATGTCTCGATGTCATTTAAAGGATTCTGTAATTCTAATCCATGTCACATTCTGCTGGGTGCTGACTGCAAGCAACTCCCAATTGAACTAGATCAGTCCCCTGTTTGAAAGAGTAAAACAAGAGATGAATACATCCTGCCGATTGCACAGTAGCTTACATTCCATTTCATGTTCAAGGAAAACAGGTAACTGCTACACAAAATAACGTGGATGAATCTCACAAACATAATTTTGAGAAAAAGAAGCCAGATAAGCCAGACACTACATGATTCCATTTATATAAAGTTCAAAACATGAAAGCTAATTGATGGTAAGAGAAGTGAGGATTGTGGTCACCTTTGAAGGATTGTAGAGACTGGAAAGGGGGTGTGAGGGAGGCCTCTCAGGGGGGTTATAATGGTCTATTCCCTAATCTGGGGGGGGTGGTTTACATGGGTATGTTCACTTTGAGGAAATTTCATAAGAGAATTTATAATTACCTTATCATTTGTGTGCTTTTCAATATTACATTATACTTGAATTTTAAATTTTATTTTAAAAGTAAAATACTGAGGGTATCTGGGGTGGCTCAGTCGGTTAAGTGTCTGCCTTTGGCTCGGCATGGTACCGGAGTCCCAGGATCAGAGTCCTACATCTGGATCCCGGCTCAGCGGGAGTCCACTTCTCCCTCTGACCCTCCCCTGTCTTGCGCTTTCTCTCTCACTCAGATAAATAAAATCTTTAAAAAAAAATAAAATATTGAATCAGTAAGAAATGTTTTTAGGGATTAGATAGTGTGGAAGTTTAGAATAAAATACTGATTTTATAGTGACAAATCCAAAGTAACTGATGATTTTGGAATATCAAAATCAGATAAAACTGTTTACTCATAAAGGATTATGTTTTGCCCATTTTGGGATCTGGAAGAATGGGAGTGATTCTAAGAATACTTTTCCCCTGTCAATTTTCCTGCTTTGTCCCCCCTTTTCACACTAGCCTTTCACATCTCTGGGAGTCACTGTGAATTATTAGGCCCATTTACCCAGAGTGTGCAATATACTTGAATGCCAAAATTATACTTGTGACCAAAATTTATCTTTTTTTAAAAAGTAGTTTTCAGATCAATTCTGCCTACTCTGTTTAGGGATCTGGTTGCCTCAAAATTTAAGAGTATTGAAAATGTTACTGTTGTAGGGCGCCTGGGTGGCTCAGTCGTTAAGCATCTGCCTTCGGCTCAGGTCATGATCCCAGGGTCCTGGGATCGAGTCCCACATCAGGCTCCCTGCTCAGCAGGAGACCTGCTTCTCCCTCTCCCACTCCCCCTGCTTGTGTTCCTGCTCTCGCTGTGTCTCTGTCAAATAAATAAATAAAATCTTAAAAAAAAAAAAAAAAAGAAAATGTTACTGTTTTACATAGCTGTCCTAAACCTGGATGAAAGGGGTTTGGTTGGGGGTGGGTGAAATATCGCTGATATTTATCTGACATTTTTTATGTCCGTCAGCTTCAGAATTATTTAAAACAATGAAGGGTGGAAGCACCCCAAATGTTCATCAACGGACAAATGGATAAACAGAATGTGGAATATAAATGCAATAGAATATTATTCAGCCATAAAAGGAATTAAATTCTGACACATGCTACAACGTGGATGAACCTTGAAAACATTATGCTAAGTGAAAGAAGCCAAAACAAAAGGACGATTATTGTATGATTCCATTTATGTGAAGTGCCTAAAAATAGGCAAATTTATAGTGACAGAAAGTAGGATAAAAGTTACCAGAGGCCAGGAAGATGGAGGAATGGAGAATTATTGTTGAATGGGTACAGAGTTTCTATTTGGGATGATGAAAAATTCTGTAAATAGATGGTTGTGATGGTTACACAATACTGCAAATATACCTAATGTCCCTTAATTGTACACTTAGAAAGGTTAAATGGTAAATTTTGTTACATATATTTTAACACACACACACACAAGGTTTATAAAAAGCCAACAAGGAAGAACTGAAAAGTGGCTGTCATCACACTTCCTGCTCTAACAGGGTATGACCCCATTCCCTCCTAACTCAGGACACTATAGCACCCTAGGAAATGTGTGTGTGTAAACGAGTCATAAATAACTTTTGCTTTTGTAACCTTGCCCATCCTATGGTTAGGGAGGACAGTCTTCTGAATGAGTTCCCCCAGATCTACCTCTGTTTGAAAATCAGGTTCATAACCATAAATGTGTTATTAGCCTCACATATGAGATTTGAGTTTTTATTTCATTTGAGATTTTTTACAAGGAAATCAATGCTAGTTGGAGTTTGTTGTGGGTCTAGAAACTAATCATTCATTCAACAAACATTTATTGAGCACCTACTTTATAGGGACACTTAACATATCTAACTAGGAAAGCTCATACAATCCCTGCCCTGGAGGGGTCTGCACCCAGCTGGGAGAGATGCGCAGGTAAATAGATAGTACATTAGTGTGTGTCACCAGGGGCTCCAATAATGGATCTATATATGCAAGAGAGGCCAAAATCTATTAGAGGCTCAGTGCTGGGCAGGTATTCCATTCAGTTTTGATTCAGTGCTTCCCCTGTTAATTACTTGCTCTTCAAATTACTACCAAATGATCATAAGTAATGAACTACTTCATGTATATACACTCTAAAAGAAATGTATCTATAGGGGGAAAAAAATCTCAGCATCACACCTTGTAATAATTAGAGCAACATTTTAAGGAAACCCCAATACTAATTTGAATACTTTCTACTATGTAAATTGACTATTGCATACTGACATGATAATTCCAAGCTGGTTTTCTGCCTCTATCATCAACCCAGGATTTGTGTGCTTTAACTCCCCATTCCAATGCTTAGTGGACAGGGAATGCACATTATTATTAACATGAGACAAAATAAAATTACCAAAGGCAAAGCAGGATTACCTGAGTGTCGGATTTAAATTCTCCAAAACTAAATAGCCTGGACCTTAATTCCAGTTCTGCTGCTTTTTCCTCTTCTCTCACACAGCTAGCCTTAAGCATTTCCTTGTGCTCCAGAAGAAACTCTATGTTGCTATTTCTATTGCAAAAGAAGAAAGAGACCCTTGTCTGTAATTTGTGGTTTGGAAATAAATCATCAGTCAGGAATTTCAACACTTTCCATATCATGTGTCAACATCCTATATCTAGCAAGCCAAATACGAGTTTATAGTTTAAGACATTGTAAAGTACATTCCAACTTTTCAGGTAAAATGAGAAGAGTAAATGCATAGATGCTGCTTTTAACTTGCACCAGGAAGCATGTTCTTCCTGTGGTTCCCCCAGAGTCCCCAAATAACAGCAGAGTTGATGTGTCAGGAAGCCAGGTTGTGGTGTGATCTAGAGATAGATTTTGTTCTGACATAGATCCCCTTTTCCTGCCCAACCATACTCACCTCGTCCCCAAAACTCATACTGTAGGGTTGGGGCACCATATGCTGTAAGGATTGTGAGAGAGGAGACAAGGATGAAAAGGGTACATTAGTGGTCCTGGGTGGCTGTGACATTGTGATTTGTAGGGTCTTAACTTTTGAGTAAGTTAATTTGTTCAAAGTTCAGTGTAGTTTGACCTACTGTGTGAAAAGATTGCCATCTTTTGGCCCAGAAAACTCTTCCCAAAAAGGCTTTACACATTTTTATAATGGGTAGATAAACAGATTTATCCTCTGCAGTTTGAAGCTATTTGCCAATAGCGTCCAATATTACTTCCAATTATATAAAATTTTACAGAAGGAATTTTGTGAGTCATCAAATCTGGCCTCCTTCCCCTTACAGAAATCCCTTTTATGAGAGCCCTGCTATATCTACATATGTATGTTATAAAATGCTCTAATATTTAAGTCACATAACTTTGCTGAAAGTCACAGCCAAGGAAAATGCATTGATTAGCATTATCATCCAAAGCCTGATTTGATTAGCCGGATGGTAGAGTGAAAACTGCACCAGACAAAACTTAATGAGTTGTGGAATCACTATGCTGTATACCTGAAACTAATGTAACACATATGTCAACTATACTTCAATAAAAAAAAAATTAAGGCAGTACATTTAATTCTTTATAATCTTTCAAACTGCCTTTTATTATTGCTAGCTAGGAAAATATTTTGACAAATGTAAGGAAGTAGAGACTAAAACTAAAGTCAGTCTACTCTGTGTAAATATAACTTCTACATTTTACACCCTACAATGTCAATTATTATTAATAATAATCCCACCCTAAAACCAGAGAGACCCTGACCCTGAGGAAGGTTCACAGAGGCATAAGTTGGATTCTGTCTCTGGTCAGAGACTGCTTAAGAGAATAAATCTACTTGTTCTTAATAACTTACATCTTATCCTGTATAAGTTTTTCTCTTTTATTTACATCTTCAAGATTTTCATCTACATCTTGGGAATACTGTACCAAAGTTAGATTCTGCTCTTCCAGCTCTGTGAGGACTTGAAGTAACTCTTCTGGTTCTTTGAAATAAAGCTCTGGTTCCTAATCAATCAGTAATGAATATAATTCACTTAAAAATATGCTACTTTTGCACATATGACTTATCTAGAAAAATACACTGGAGGAAAAGGAATGCCATTCTGATTATGAGGAGCATGGGCAGAGACTGGCAAAGGAGCCTATTTCCATAAGAGCTGGCCTTCAGGAAGAGGACATTTATGGTTCTTGGGGAGATGAAAGGTATTATAGAAGGGGAAAGGAAGGTAAGGAAAACAGAAGAAGGGATGGAGCAGAAGAGGAGGCCAAGGCAGGAAAAAAGGAAAGATGGTTCTAGGGAAAGGCAGGAAAGGGAATAGAAGAAAGAAAAGGAGGCTAAATGAAGGTCATTTTCTCTCCCCATTTTACTTTATATTTTTCAAAAACTTCATAAATATATGTATTACTTTAACTAAATTTAATTTTTAAAAAGATGACTTGGGTATTTGCACACCATGTTCATCATATTTACTAGAGCCAAAAGGTGGAAGCAACCTAAAGGTCCACTGATGGATGCATGGATAAAGAAAATGTGGTATATCCATACAATGGGATATTATTCAGCCTTAAAAAGGAAGGAAATCCTGGCATACACTACCACACGAGTGAACCTGGAGGACATTAGGTTCTGTGAAATAAGCCAAGATACAGAGAGAAAAAACTGCATGATTCCACTTTTATGAGGTATCTAAAGTAATCAAACTCTTAGAAAGTAGAACCGTGGTTGCCTGGGCTACAGAGAGGGAGAATAGGGGAGTTCGGTGGGTACAGGTTTCCATTTTGCAAGATGAAAATTTCTAGAGATCTGTTGCACAACAATGTGCATATAGTTAACTATACTGTACATTTAAATTTTAAAACGGTTAGGATGGGGCGCCTGGGTGGCTCAGTCGTTAAGCGTCTGCCTTCGGCTCAGGTCATGATCCCAGGGTCCTGGGATCAGGCCCCACATCTGGCTCCCTGCTCCGCGGGAAGCCTGCTTCTCCCTCTCCCACTCCCCCTGCTTGTGGTCCCTCTCTCGCTGCATCTCTCTCTGTCAAATAAATAAATAAATAAATAAATAAATAAATAAATAAATAGTCCTAAAAAAATAAAAATGGTTAGGACGATAGAGTCTATGTTACTTTTTTTTACTATAATTAAAAAAAGATCACTTGTATAAGATGTGTTATATGTAATAATGGATGGTGTTTTGAAATGTTTTTTGTTCCTTGTGAGTTTCAGCGGTTATATTCAGGATGGGGTTAGCTCAAAGTCAGTCTTGTAAAATAGAGGGCTGTTTTGCTGAAGGGTGATTTATCTTACGGTACAGCTACACAGCATATCTCAAGCTCGAGTAAAATGACAAGCAATCAGGAAGTGACTATTTTATTCTCTGCAGGATGACTGTAGAGAATATACGTATCTCCTAAATTATTACCTTCTTATAAACATTTTTCATAAAATGATGACAAAGATGAACTATAGATGCAACTGGGGAACAGTGTCAAAGTCATAGTTTCTTCTGGAAAGTTGTGGAATATTTGGAATAGGAAATTTTAATTTTAAAAGAAAAAAATGAGCACTTATACTTTTCATCAAACACAATATTTAAATCCAAAATAGATAATCTGGTTACCAGATCATAGTTCGTATCATTGTCTAAAAAGAATTCCAAGCTGTCTTCTGAACTGATACTCTCAGCGTGGCTGTAAAAGAAAGAAAATGTCTGATTTCTAAGCCATTTTCAGTCAACAGATTTGCTTCATTTCTAAATTGTCTTTGGAACCTAACTATAACATAGTCCTTTTCAATAGCCTTTTTAGCCTTTTAGGGAACTGCTGTTTGCAGGAATCAGTGGATTCCACACATATGCAAAAGAAAATCAGATTCCATCCGGACAAGGGTGAAACAAGTGAGACCACAAGGAAAGGCCAAACCATATGGTACCAATTATTGGAGGTGCATTTATAAGAAATCTTTTTAAAGAAACACATGACAAGCTACACTGCTGCCTCTGTTTTGTTCCTTTTAACGCAGGCTTGACAAACAAAACGTGCTCTAGTGTTCAACACAAAGCTTGTTCCCGGAGTAATACAATATTTGTCTTCTGAAGAGCGGATTTTACTTTTTTAAAATATCTTCTGATCAGGTTGGTTGCGGGGATGGGGGAACGAGGTACACTCAAAGAATAATTATGTGGTTTGCGTAGCAGCTCTGGAAAAATCCTTTAAGAAGGATAAATTGAAAATGATTGGAAAATTGAAGAGGCAGAGACTAGGGAGAGTAAGGTGGCTGTTGGTGTGATCTAGGTCATTAACACGTTCAAGTAGAGGCTAGTGATGAAGGGAAGAGTGAGTAAATAGGCTGGGGAAGGGAGGAGAGTCTAGAAATACATAAAAGAACGAAATCATGGGAACCAAGAGTAGAAAGAGCTACTGGAGCCAAAAGAGAAGAGACAAAGATGATTCTAACATCTGTAGTCTGTGAGCCTGGAATAATGGAAGTGGTCCTAACAAGATGGAAGACAGTTTAAGGATGAGCTAAGAAAAAAGTTAATATTTGTGTTGAGTTTGAGGGAACAAAATACCTATTGGAGCTGCCCTTTAAGCCATGGGAAATAAGGTGTGGGAACATGGAGAAAGAGCCGTAAAAGTAAGTGAGTATTTAGGAAACATTCCCTGAGAAAGCATTTGATAACTACTGTCCACCCCGCTCTTCTCTCGATCCAGTGGTAGCACTTTCTAATCAGTCTTCTCCACCTCTCTGACATTCTTGTTACCTTTTTGGTTTCCTTTTTGACATAAGTGTCTGTGGTTCCTCAGCCTTCTTCCCCTTTCATTGTACCCACTCTTTGGGGGTTATTTCATCCTCTTTCATGGATTCTATCACAGCCAATATACTAATGGCTCCCACATATCTATCTCTTTCTCTTAAGCTCTAGACTTCAATGTCCAATTTCCACCTGGACATCAATGTCTACTTGGCTGTCCTACAAGGAGCTAAAAGTAGATCCAAAATCACACTCCTTATTTTCCTCTTCAGGCCTGCTCCCCTTACAGTGTTCCCAGTATTATTGAATGCCAATGCCATACAGCCAGTTACCCACACAGAAATTTGGGAGTTATCTTTGATGAAATTTGTGAGTTATTTTTGACCACTCTCTTTTCCTCACACTTCCCCCAATCTTTATGTGAGCCTTTCAAAGCCTATCAATGCCACTTCTCTGAGGTGTCTCACAGCCTTTCCTTCTTTGTTCCCACTGTCACTCTGTGGTTGAGACAGTTCATTATCTCTCCCCTGACTTGTGACAGCAGGCTCCTAACTGGCCCCTCTTACCTCTAGATTTGTCTCCCTCCATTTCATTCTCTAAAATACTCCCACGTCCAATTTTCTAAAATGTAAATCTGATTGAGTCTCTGTTACACTCTTGCTTAAAACCTTCCGTGGCTCCCCAGGGCCCTTGGGACAAAGCACAGACTCCTTAGGATGGCACCACTGCTTACCTGCTCACGATACAATAACTATTCACCCCTTAAGCTTCTCACTCTCACCTTGTGGCCCAGCCATTTTGAGGGGGTGGGGGATGGGCACAATGTGAAGGGGAGTGGGAGATACAGGGTTCCAGTTATGGAATGAATAAGTCACAAGAATAAAAGGCACAGCATAAGGAATATAGTCAATGATGTCATAATAGTGTTGCATGGTAGCTACACTTGTGATGAGCATAGCGTTTATCACAATGTTGTACACCCCAAACTAATGTAACATTGTATGTCCACTATACTCAAATAAAAAAATAAAAAATAAAGTAGCCAGAATAAACTTTTTTTAAAAAAAGCACAATACGATATATACATCTATCAGAAGAGCTAAAATTAAAATAAATAATGAAAACAGTAAATGCTGATGAGAATGTAGAGAAACTGGATCCCTTGTTCCATTGCTGGTGGGATGGAACAAGGTGGGATGTAAAATGGTGTGGCCACTCTGGGAAACAAATTGGCAGTTTCTTTAAAAACTAAGTATGTACCTACCATCCAACTCAGCATTTGCACTCTAGGCATTTATTCCAGAGAAATGGAAATGATGTGCACACAAAAAATTGCACAAATATATTTATAGCAATTTTCTTTATAGCCCCAAATTGGAAACAATCTGGGTGTCGTTCAATGACTGAATAGTTAATTTGTAGTGTGTCCATATATACTTGACTCTGTAACAATATGGGGGTTAGGGGTACCAACCCTCTATGCCTTCAGAAATCTGCATGTAACTTTTGACTCCCTCAAAACTTAACCACTAACAGCCTACTGTTGACCTGAATCCTTACCAATAAGTTAAACAGTCAACCTATTTTGTATGTTATATATATTATATACTATATTCATAGGACAAAGTAGGCTAAATAAAAGAAAATAACAAAATCATAAGGAAGAGAAAATACATTTACAGTACTATACCATGCTTATAAAAAAAATTTCACATATAAGGGAAACTGCACAGTTCAAACCCATGTTGTTCAAGGGTTAACTGTAACACTACTCAACAATAAAAGGGAGCCAACTATTGATAGACCCAACAGCTTGAATGAACCTTCAGAGAATTATGTTCCATAAAACATCCAATCCCAAAAGGTTACATACTGTATGATTCCATTTATATAACATTCTTGAAATGATAAAAATCAAAGTGATCAAGAACAGATCAGTGGTTTCCAGGAGTTAAGGGGAGGGAGGAGAGAGGGAAGTGGCTGTACTACGAAGGGGCAACATGAAGAATCCTCACGATGGTGTTCTGTATTTGATTGTATCTTGACTGTGCCAATGCCAGTATCCTGGTTGCGATATTGTACTACAATTTTGCAAGATGTTACCATTGAGGGGAACTGGGTAAAGGGTACACGGATCTCTCTGTATTATGTCTTGCAACTATATGTGAATCTACAACTATCTCAAAATAAAAACATTAAGAGCAAAATAAAACATTGACCCTTAAATGCCACAGAAGTGGAGTGACCTCAGGGTCCCTGGAATTTAGAGTACAGTGTCTGTGTTGACTTTTGTCATGTGTGATTGTCATGGATACTGTGGTGCTGGTCCTCTCCTGGGGGCCAGTGTACCCATCCTGGACATCAATATATTTTCTTAAATAGCCAGGGTTGGGAACTAGCAATTTATGAAATAATGAGTATGAATGAGTCAACAATCAAGTAAGGGACAAAACAAAAAAGCTTTATGGTTGGATTGCAGCAATTTTGAATGACATGGTAAAACTGCAAACACAGGGGTCAGCAGAGTAGCTTTGTAAACAATTGGGCAGTGGCTCTGAGAGAGGGCAGGCAGTTTCTGCAAACAGCAGTGGCAGGCACTCATCAAAGAATGCGCAGAGGCCTCTGGGAGTTTAGCCACCTCAGGAGCACCCGGAAATGGCAACCACTACCTCCAGTATCTGTTAGGACGGGTGTGCGTATGTGGTATCTATGTTGAAGAAAGGCTAAAAGGGATATTTTCTGAAAAACACTCACAGTTTCCAAGAGAGTTAATCAAGTAGGTACCGTACCTTGATAAGGATGATTTCTTATTCTCTACGGTGAGAGTGGGCTTCTTGTGTGGTTTTCCTGTTCAAAATGTCCAGGCGAAGTCCACATCATTCGTGATGGTGGAGGTGAAAAGAAATAACGTGGAATTAGAAATGAGTCCTTGTTATTTGGTGCAAGATAATCATTTCTTCTGCATGGATATGCCCATTCTTTTTATTATTATTAGAATGATAATCATAGAAAGTGGAGTGAGCTCCTCTCTTCTACTGAAATTGGGTTCCAAGCCTAAGAATAAAATCAAAGGCACTGGTTGTGGGGGGTGGGGGCTGCGGTGCAGGGTACATATTGTCAAAAACATGATAAAACTATTGATAGTCCCAAATCAGGGGCATAAATTGTGAAATATAATATAATATAATCATGGTTCTTTTTTTACCTAACCATATATATTTCATATGTAATCACAGATTTTTAAAAATCAAGGCAAAAAATAAAAAGGATGGACATTTGAATTGTTACATCTTGTGGAGGGGATGACTTGTGCCAGGTTCTCTGCCTCTGAGTTCTGTGCCCGTCCTGTCCATTCATCTCCAAGTCTTGTAATCATGTCAGAGAGAAAGAGATGGAACTCCTAGCTCCCAAGGGTTACGGGTGATGTGGACATCACCTTTTGTTTTCCAGGTTAGCTCATAGGTCCCAGATTTCCAATTTGAGATGGGCACCTTCTCTGGTTTTACTTTTGTGAATGAAGTCCCAAATCTCTGGTGTTACCTTGGCGACGTCTTTCCACGTAATAGTCATCTGAAAATGATATCTTCCTGGCATCCTCATTACTGCCCTCTGTTTTCGTTGTATGTAATTCTAGAAATGAAAAACAAAAGGGAGAGAGATGGGGGGAGAACACTTCTGAGAATGAGAGGTTTGTCTCATGGTGAAGGTAGAGTTACTGTGAGAACTTACAAGGACAGAAATATAGGATGGGGACATTGTAACAAGCAAACGTATGATGCCGACGGCAAGGACTGGTCTCTGGACCAGGCAAAATGCAGGGGAACTGACCCGCAGGGCATGAGGAGGTCTCTATTTCCTGCATCAGTCAACAGCCTGAAAACTTCTATAATCCCCGTGTCAGCCCTTCACTCCTCCGGACTGAGGGACTCATTACCTTCTGAGCATCCTCTAGTTAAAGGACAAGTCTAGGGGCATTGAATTTTAAGCTGCTAAATGCAATTACTTCCTGATTTTCCTTTCTATAGGTTTTCTGTCTTGTCAGTGTATTGAGTTTAACCAAGTGCCATCATTGTGCTCAGTACCCAATACAATCACGTACAAATGATCTAATTCAGTCACAGCAAAGTGAGCTGTGACAGCCATCGCTACTGTGCTGGTAACTGTTTAACTATCAGCTCTCCAGAAGAGTTCTCCCTGGTTTGTAAAAGTTTACTAGCTTCTATGGGGTAAATGCTCTTACCCCAGAGTCTCAGGATCACCTCTCAGCGGAAGACTCTGCAGAGAACTCTCTGTGTAGCTCGCTCTTCTCCAGTACTCTGCTCTGGGAACCCCAGGCTCCCTACTCCCTTAGCTCTGTCCTGGCACTTCATGGGGACTGCTGGGCTCCTCCTCCCTCTGCGGCATCCTGGAAATGCTCCCCAGGCACTACGCTGAGGCCGTCATTTGGCTCATCTCATTTGTCTCTCCTCTCTCACAGATCGTTCTGCTTCTCTTCTTGGCGCCTGATGCCTGAAACCTATTGCCTCATATATTTTTCAGATTTTTTTAGGCAGGAGGTAAGTCTGGTCCATGTTACCCCAATGTTGCTAGAAGTGGTAGTTTTCCTCTTTGATTTGTAACCCCACTTAATCATTTATTCAATTCTTATATATAATAGATCTATTTTTGGTCCATTGAGCTGACTTCCTAATACCAGTACCATGCGGTGTTAATTTCTGAGACTCTGATAATATACCGTATAATACTTTAAAAGATTAGTAATACTGGGGCGCCTGGGTGGCTCAGTGTGCTAAGCAACTGACTCTTGATTTTGGCTCAGGTTATGATCTCAGTCAGGGTCCTGAGATGGAGCCCCACGTTGGACTCCATGCTCAGCAAGGAGCCTACTTGCGATTCTTTCCCTCTGCCCCTCCCGCTCCCGTGTACACTCACACTCTCTCTAAATAAATAAATTAATTAATTAAATCTTAAAAAAATAGTATCAGAGATAGTGGGAATCCTTGTTCAGGTTCTGCGCAAAATAGGAATTCTGACTGTTTAATAAATAAACAAATATTGAAACAATATTTGAGAATTAGAGCTATTTATTTAATTAAAATTAAGAATATGTGACTCACTTGTTAGTACTGGAAGACTGACATTCATACTCTCTTTATTCTTTGTCATCTGCGCCCTTTTCAGTGCTTGTTGGATTTGCCAGTGTTTTGGAGACAATTTCAGCAGAAAAAATCCATATTTCATGTACTCTCTAAGGAGGAATTCTGTTTTTGCTATCTCACTGCTCAAAAGAAATGAAGATATCATTAGAAATATCCATGTGAAAGCATGTTCATAAAAAAAGGTTTCACAAAATTTATTCCTTTGATTATGTATTTGAATAGTAATTTACATAACAAAAATTATTAAGTAGGGTCATAAAAATATGGGCATCAATAAGGTAAGATGAGAAGAAAAAAACCCATAGGAGTCCTATTTGAATAAAACATGCCAAGGATATACACACATGGAATAGACTGATGATAGTTTTACTCATTTATTCCTGAGGGAAATGTCGTATTAAATTTTAGACATAGGAACAAATTAGAAGGTAGCAGAAGATGGTACTTTTGTGAGAAGAATAAAGAAAACACCCACGAGCACCTACTATGGACGCACGACAGAGTACCATTTCATTGTCTGTACAGCACTTTACAGTCGGTATAATCCCCATCTTTTGGAAGAAGAAATTAATGACTTGCAAAGTCATCTGTCTACTAAATGGCAGATCCGGCACTCAAACCCGGGTCTGGCTGATTCAGATGCCCAAGCTTTTGCCACCAATATCCAGGGCCTTGGCCTGAAAGCCTCTCCCCAGCCTCACAGTGCTTTCCCATAATCGTGTTACAAAGTGGACCTTGAAGGAATGTTTACAAAAACAATGAAGTCCCTTGTGAAAGGATGCTCCACCCATACCCTTCCAGGCTTCCTTAATCATACCGTCTTCAATACCCTTATCGATATTACTCCTACACCAGTATCTTCAGCTCCGGTACTTTTTTCAGGCAGTGCCTTCCTTCAGCCCTGATGTGAGCGTGAGATTCAAGAGTCAGTAATCAGCTGGCTCATGTATCACACTGAAGGATGTGGGAGCCCCTCATTCTACTACCACTTTGTTATTAGATTGAAAGCTTCCCAGGGGTGTTACAAGAACAGGGTTAAAATGGCTAGCATTGGACAGCTTCCAAGCAAAAGCTTCAGAACAAGCTCCCTTTCCCTTTGTAAACAGATTTCCAGCCCTACCTGCAGTGGACGACCTTCCTGGGCCATGTCAAGCCCAAAAGACAGAAAGAAAAAGGAAATAAATAGCAGGCACCTGTATCCTTTGTGCTGTTTCCTAGCTTGTTTATCATGACCTTTGCACCTTTCTAGGATGAGGAGACACATATACACTAAGCAAGTTCTTTTCAGCAAGGCTGTTTACTGGGTGGCCATTGTGCATAAATATAATACTCTCTGCAAGCCTCGAGGCTGCTGCTCTCATTCTACAGATAGAACAGAATCTTCTAATTACATGATGGAGTGAAGGAAGGAAGGTAGTTCTCCACCTTGGAATGCCTTCAACTTTAGGCTGCTACAAGAGAAGAGGCTCTGTAGCCAGAATGTGTTTGGAAAACACACATTCTGTTAGTAACAATCGGTTTCAAAGAAACTACCATCCCATTCATTTGCTGTATTTTAGACAAGCTGTTGTCCTCTTCTCTTGGTTTTAAAGGAAAGGTAAGTATCAAATCCTCAGAAAGAAAAAACAAAACAAGTTTTTGTCATGAAATTCCTGTCCAAGAATGATGATAGAAGGATGCTTCTTTAGATACTTAAAATTAGACCAAGTGAGATACACTTGACCACAGAAGAAAACATTCGGGCTTGAAAAAGAAAAAAAAAAAAGAGTGGTGGGTGATATAATAATTTTATCCCAACTCTCCTTCCTGAAATTTTTGTCATTATAAATCCTGGTTTTTAATATCAATTCTAGGTTCAACTAAGTGGAAGTGCCAATTATAGTTGAGAGATAGTTGTAAAAATGAATCCCAATTTCAGAGATGTTAAAATGTGGAAAGAAATATGCCTTCAAATGAATGAAAGAGGACACTTAGAAAATAATTTATGGTTTACTTTCAACATTGGCTTGCTTCTTTTCAACCAATTTCTAGGCTTCTACACTGACAAGTTACAGAAATTTTTCAGCCAGAGTTCACTATACTCTGATAACCAGGCCGAGACAGACAGAAGGACCTTGATCGACAGATTACTTATTTAAAAATGAGGTCATACTTAGGAAGTCATCAACTGATAAGGAATATTCCCACGTAGGTCTGGCTAGGCACATGTAGGTTGCACCACGGCTGGGACATTCGAGAAGGAAAAGATGGTGCCCTGGGCTCACCTTTTCACCGCCTGTACCTCCATACTGGCTTTCTTTAGTTCTGCTGTCATTTGGAGTTTGTTTATAGTTTCCTGTGCTGCACTGAAAAGTAACGGGGATTTGTTAGTTTGTTTTATGTTGTGTTGTATTCCGAGAAACTAAAAAGAAAGGGGGAGGGAAAAAGGCAATTTGGCCAGAGTGGAAAAAAACGAACATTTTAAGAGCATCTACAGATCTCTGGTCATTTTCTCGAAGGAACTCTTCAAAGGCCATTGCATCTTCTTGGAGCTTTTTTTCGGCTCTTGTGAGTTGCCGTTCCTTCGCCACCATGTGTTTTTCAAACTTTTTAATTGTATTTCTTTTGGTTGACAGGGCATACTAGGAATATTGAAAACAGAAGTGCACATTATGGCACATTTCCAGCTCATTGCTAGTACATTTCAACAGTCTCATAATAAAGGGAAAATAACTTGCATAGTAAGAGATCACATGTATTAGAAATAATAGCATGCCAGGTCTTGAGACGATAGCCTTTATTTTATGAAGGAACTTATGTGGGGATCGTTAGAAGGGAGACTAATTCCTCTCTTTCACTTTTATGAAGAGGCTCAATATTGTTCCAACATGGCTTTGTCCCACAAATCAAAAGTAGCTACATTTCCCCTCAGGCTCTATCCTAAAAAAATAAAAGTAGAAAACCAAAACAAAAAACTACATATCTCTCCAAAGAGGAGGTCTCCCTGGTATTATCCACAATATCCCTCCAGCATTTCTGGGCATTGGGAAATTGGGCTGTCTGCAGTGACAAAGCCTCCTCCGTTAGGAAGGAGCACCTGAAAATGAGGTTTTCACCCTGCTATACCTATGACACATTCCTCCAAGCTGCCCAAGGGTAGGGGTGTTTAACCCGGCTTTAAGAACCCCGGGTAAATCCCCAAATACAACTTTGATATCTAGCTTTTATTTATTTATTTTTTTAGTTACAGAATATAAGAGTTCACTATGGTTTTTAATGCCATGTAGGAACAAGGAATTATAAATAAAGTCATACATTATAATATACATGAATTTAAAATATGTAAATGAGATCATTTTAAAGAAATAACAACCCGGGAGCCAGGGGCCAGATAAAGTCACCAGAGGTCTTCAGTAGAGGAGGGGCACGTGTGGAGAACAGACTGAGTGTAGGGAGCAAAAGTGGAGTCAGACCAGTGTTCAGAAGTTATAACAATAACTCATGCAGGTGATACCGGTGACATGGATTACAGTGGCAGCAGGCGAAGTCATGAAAAGTAGTGTGAGTATGGATGTATGGGGAAAAAATACGTTTGAAAGTATATTTGGATGTGGGTTGTAGGTAGGAGAGTTGAAGATAGCTCCAATGTTTTTGGCCTAAGCAACTGGAAAAATGAAATCACTACTCACTGCGATGGGGGCACTCCACGAGAGGCAGATTTGCAGGGGTAATGAAGACTGAGGTGCCTACTGGGCATCTAAGTGGAGATGTTAAGGACTACAATTACCTTTGTGAGTCTGGAGTTCAGGGAAGATGATCAGGGTAGAGAAATAAGTTTGGAAGTTGTTAATGGGGAAAGTGGAATTTAGAGCCATGGGCCTGGAGGAGGGTAGATAGAGCACAGGGCGAGGAGTGAGTCTGAGGGCGTTCCAACATTTGGAGGTCAGGGAGAAGAAGAAGAAAAGAAAACTGTGAGGAAGCTAGCAGCCAGTGATGAGGAAGAACCTAGAGACTGTGGGTCCTGGAAACCAGCTGAAGAAGACATTTCAAGAAAGAGGAAGTGACCGAATGAGCTAACTGTTGCGGAAGGGGAAGGAAAAGGAAGATCGTGAGGTGACGATTTGAACTTGGCAATGGGAATGTCACTGAGAACCTTGACAAAAGCAGTTTTGGTGGAATGATGAGGACGAAAGCCCAACTGAAGTTGTTTAGGAAAGGATCAGAGGCGCAATAGATCTGGAGCATGTAATGAAAAAATAAACTGTCAAGGTGAAAATTTGGCAATACTCTGCCGGCGGTCTTCTGTTTGACTAATGGGAGAAAGAAATTATTTTTACTACCTCCAGCAGAAACCGGTCTCTCTGGTCATTAATAAATTCATGAATAGTCCTTTTTGTGTCCACACCTTCAAAGAAAATTGAAATAGACTTAGATTTAGTTCATTATTCCTCAAGAGTTTCTATAAAATAAAAGCTATGTAATTAAATTACTGTATATGGTATGTATCTGACTTAAAAAACCACTATCTCTTCAAGTAAACTTTTTTCCTAATCACTAAAAAACTAATTTCATAATAGTAATTACCATTTATTTTGTGTCCATCAAATTCCAAGAACTTTATTGGACACTTTAAATAAATCATTTTATTTGATCCTAACAATAACCCCAATGAGGTACATATTTCTGTACCCATCCTGTATGTGAGCTCAGAGATGTCAAGATGCTTGCCCAAGATAATGGAGCTAACACATGGCAGAAGGGACATATGATTCCTAAGCCTGTGCTGAAGGAGACCGAGCTGTTTTAAATCTTAGTGTTTTGGCCAATCTGGATATAAAACCGAAGTCCTTTAGCAAAATGCATGTGGGGATCACAAACCAAATTTACAGCATGAAAGAAAAAGATGACAACTAGCTTTACCATCTAGCAATAAAAAAAGACCAAAGTTTCCTTTCAAGATTTCTTCATTCTGGAAAAATTACACATAGGCTGCATTTCACTGTTAGCTTCATGAAAAACCAACAGAATGTGGTATAGAACAAAGTCTCTTGATTAAAACGTAGATAGAAGTAGAAATAAAACAGCGTTTCCCAAATACCAGTGAGCCCGCGCTGCACTGGGGAGCCCACAGTCTCCTTGGGTCATATTCCGCCTCCGCCTCTTACTAGCCATGAGGATGTGAGTAAATTACTCACCCTCTTCAAGCCTCAGTCTCCTTGTCTGTAAAAATGAGGATCCTAATAGTAGTAGATTGTATTATTGTTCCAAACTATTTTCTGCCCCTCTCTGGAAGAAGATTCTCTCTCCCTCTCTTCGCTGGTATTGGGATTGACCATTGACTTGATTTGGCTCACTGAATGCCAGTGGAAGTGACCTGTGTGGCTTCCAAGCAGAAGTTTTAAGAACCACCACTGGTTCTCTCTTCCTCCCTCTGCCATAACTCCAGCAACATACCAGTCAGGGGTTGTTCCTTCAGTGCAGGACACACTGAAAAGCACCAATGTTGAAAGGTGAATGACAAATAAACTTACGTTGTTGCAAGCCACTGAAATTTAGGAATCGTTTATGAGCACAGCACAAATTAGTCTAAGTGGGTCATTGCTATTATCTCTACCTCATAGTGGTATTGTGAGAAGGAAGTGAAGCAACATGCTATAAAACACATAATAACTTCTTTTTTTTTAGACAAAGAGAGATTAAGAGAGAGTGTGTGAGCAGGGAGGGAGGGGCACAGGGAGAGGGAGAGAGAGAATCTTAAGCAGGTTGCACACCCAATGTGTCAAGAGTAGACGCTTAACTGACTGAGCCACCTGAGTACCCCAACACATAATAACTTCTTAACAATTGTTAGCTATTATTCAAAATACAATTGGAATGAGTAATCACAATTTTTCCAGGTCAATAATAATAGCAGCAATAAAGTGATTATTTTAATCATTAAAAAATAGTTCTGTGTTTATGGGTAACAACAAGACTTGGAGTCAGACAGGCATTGGTTTGAATTCTGCATCCACCTAGTGACCTTTAATTAGTGATTCAATCTCACTGAGCCATTTTCATCAGAGGAGAAGAGACAGAAATATCTTATAGCATTTTGTTGAGGATTAGATAAAATAATATATGTGAAAGTAATAAGCACCTAGTTATAATGGTTTTCTTTTTAACACATAAAAGCTTTTTATTATAGAAATCCTCAACATTCATAAAATGAACTGTCTGTATCTCTCACCTACTTCAGCACGATCAACATCTTACCTCTCGTTTCATCTCTCGTCACCCCTCACTGCAATATTTTAAAGCAAATCCAAGCCATCATTATCATTTAACCCATAAATACTTCAGTATTTATTTATCAGATAAAAAAGTTTTAAAACATAGCCATAATACAACTATCATCCCAAACAAAATGAACAATTCCTTAGTATCATCTTATACCTAGTCTGGGTTCAAACTTCCCCAGTGGTCTCACAAATAACTTTTTAGAATTAAAAAAATCAAAATCTAAACAAAGATCAATTTGGTTGGTATAACTCCTAAAGTTAATTTTTTACCTATAACTGCCATCCCTTACCTCCTCCCAAACACTACCATTTTTCCATGCCATTTATTGGTTTAAGGAACCCAATCAGGGGCTCCTGGGTGGTCAGTCGGTCAAGAGTCTGACCTTTGATTTCGGCTCAGGTCATGACCTCAGGGTCATAAGATCGAGCCCCACACTGGGCTCTGCACTGGGTTTGGAGTCTGCTTAGCATTCTCTCTCTCTCCCCCTCTCCCTCTGCCCCAACCCTACCCCCTCTCTCCCTCTCTTAAAAACCAAAAACAAAAACCAGACCAATTTCCCTGTAGAATTTCCTGTATAATGGATCTGGCAGATTGTATCCTGGTGGTATTATTTAACATGTGCTCAATCTCCCATGTTTGCTTGATCAGATTCAGGTTCAATTTACTTAAAAATATTTTTCGTAGAAAAGAAGCATGAAAGTGCTTACTGTAGCTTTCATTTGGTTACTTATGATGGGTCACATGAATTGGAATACATCTCAATATAAAAAATCCTATACTGTCCATTTGCTAAATATTATAGTCATGCTTACCATTTCAGGCTACTTTAACATGATACTATCTGGCTGAGTTGATGTGATTTTATTCTTCGAGTCTAAATAGACTGGTTATAGTGGGTTTCCCATTTTGGCTCTTCTAGCTGTCCGGAAGGTTTTTTAACAAAGAGACTGTGTATGACAAAATCATCTTCCAAACACTAGTATTCCTCAACACCAGAGTACCTCACCACTCACTGGGGATGTGATCCAGAAGTGTTGCTCTTTGAGAGTAAAACCACAGTTAAGCTGCTGGCTGCCTGGAGGGGGCACGTCTACTTTGCAGCCTAACCCATCTATCTGTGACAGTCGCCTGTGTAATTTCTTTGAGGTGATCTGGTAGTTGCCTTCTACTGAATACACAAAAATAAAATGACTGGGCTCCCAAAGTAGGGGTCACTTGCCCATTTCACATCACGTAGGCTTGTCTTTTATCAGAATTCAGGCAGGAAATGTAAGGTTGGGAAATGGGGGTTTCAACCAAATTAACTCACAATTGGAAAGAGTCTGAGGGGGATTTATTTTCAATGAAAATGTCTAAATTGCTTCTCTGTGTAATCAACAGAAACTGACAACCTGACTTCCATTGCTGACAGAGCCCAGATTGTCTTGGATAATACCAAAAAATCTTACCATTTCCTTTTTAAGAGTCTACTGTATGTCATTTACTGTTAAGAGACCAGTAACCCCTCTGTCACCCAGCCTGGTGTCGAGTAGGGTCATCTGCAAAGCCATATTTGCTAGTTCTCTCGGAAGTGGCAAGGATTTTTGAAGGTAGCCACTTTGTGTAGAACTCTAAAACATGTCATGTATTTTAAGTGCTCTTGATGACTTAGGGTTCACCATTCTACAGAGGTGAACTATGAGACACAAGACTGAACCTAGCTACATCCTATCCGTGCTATAGTCACTGATACTACCATGTTGCTGACATTTGCACTTCTTTGTACAACTATAGTGCAGAATATGCACCTCCAAGATCTAAAAGAGTTAACATGGCTTCCCTCTCCTACACTAATTATTGACTCCAAAGTTCTTTCCCAGGTGTTTCTTTTTTGTTGTTGTTCTCTGAAGATTTTTTTTTTTAATCACAGTTTGGCAAAGTTACCACAGCAAATCCTGGGCACTCGATGTATCTTTCTTCCTCCCTTCTTCCCTTCCTTTCTTCCTTACTTTTTAATTTTAACTTAAAAATTTAGACAAGACTCATCTTGGGGGAAGATTTTATGACCCCGTCATCCTAGCATTAATCACTTCAACCTCACTTCAAACTGCTTTCTGTCTCATTTGTAAGCATTTCTTGATCTGATAAGTAAGAAAAGTCCATGACATTTTGATTAACATATTATTCCTTTTCATAGAGCAATAATGAACATCCTGTAATATTTTATCATGTTGCTCTCAAGTGCCATTAAAACAGGTTGTGTTTTTGCAACAACAGGAAAACTTATTTAATTCTATAAGCTTCCTGATTCTGGATATATGAGTTGTATGGCATGGAAAATAAACACTTGTCTTTGGAAAGTTTCTATATATTTCTACATTTAGAAATGAGTTTAAATGGCCTTAGCCATAACCTTTAATACTATATCATTTTGGCAATGACTTTCTTCCTTAGAGCCATGAAAATGAGTAACAATCTATTTCTTGGAAAAGTATGCTTTCTTATTTAAAATAGATTTTGTCCCCACTCTCAGTTTCCATTTATAGAGAACCTCCCCCCAACCATAGTATGAGACAGCATACTTTTTTTTTTTTACCTCCAGGAAAGCCCCTAAACCTGACATTAACAGTAAATATTCAAAATAATATTCTTAAACAGTAATCTAGACTTACCTTCTGTTAATCTTAGAATAAAAGTGGGATCTAGCCCAAATTTTTCGAATGAGCCCCCAGCTGTGTCAGAGTAGAATGCTACTTGGCCCAGGTGTGAACGACTCTTCATTCGAGATGAAAAAGTAGACTTCTGGTAGACTTTCATGCTGCGGTTTATAAATTTTTCCTGCCCAAGTGCAAAAGTTTAAAAGAATTTCTAATATAACAAAATAATGTTGTCTTTAAAAATAGTAATCAGATATAAAAATATCGTTTACAATAAGTCTTTCTCTCATTACTGGTAAATTTCTCATTACTAATACATTAAACAAGCGACTTTGAGTTCTTATCTCTGAAGGCCCGGGTATAGTTTGCAATTCCTTCTCTTATGAAGCTGAGCACAAATATAAAGACATTCAATATTTACTAAACATGTACATCATAAATACAAGCCTGAAAAGTGTTCTGGCTTTATTTTCATTTTCATTTTTATTTTTTAATCCTTGTCTTGCCCAACTGCAGGTAACTTGGAAATTCCACTAATTTGAAAGGACTGGTTCTGGGCGCCTGGGTGGCTCAGTTGGTTAAGCAACTGCCTTCGGCTCAGGTCATGATCCTGGAGTCCCAGGATCGAGTCCCGCATCGGGCTCCCTGCTCAGCAGGGAGTCCGCTTCTCCCTCTGACCCTCTTCCCTCTCGTGCTCTCTGTCTCTCATTCTCTCTCTTTCAAATAAATAAATAAAATCTTAAAAAAAAAAAAAAAAAGAAAGGACTGGTTCTGTGGAATTGAATTGAAAACTTGAGAGGAAATGGACCTCCCCAGTAGACATAAATAAATCAGCCTTTTTTAAATTCATGAATCTTTGCTCAATTTAATTTTGGACACCTTCAATAAAACTATATAACACAAGCATAAAACCTTCACCTTACAGATGAATCTGTTGTTGAGCATTTTTAGTTTCTTCATTCTAAATAGGATTTTTTTTAAAAAATCCTATAATTAGTCTTTACCTCTAGAAATAAGGAAAGCAAACCTCTTGAAATTCAAATCATGTAATAAATGGTATAATAATATAAGTAGTGAGATTAACTGCACAGCACAGCTTTGTTAGCCTCATCTCTGGTTTAGCTTCATACCAAATAATTCTAAAATGACTCCCTCCTCCACTTCTGTTCCTATTTTCTTCTCTGCCCCTCTTCCCTAATACATACATATACATTCTCTTATCTGTATCTGGCTGGCAAATTTTAACTTACTCTTAACAATTCAGCTCTGGCTATCTCTTCAGTTAAGTCTTTGTGTGCGTGCGTGCACAGAGACAACCACACACACATATACACCACCACCACCATTATCCTTCTCTCCAACAAAGATGGTCACTCCTTTCTCCACATGTTCTTTGTTACTGTATTTTATCAACTCTAAGATACCATTTATTGTAGGTGCACTATTGTTTTGTGCACTGCTAATTATGCATGGCAATCCATCTATATAAGCTGGATCCCAATTTCAGGAATGAGAAAATGTGAAAAAATTATGGGCATTAGAATCAATGAAGTGGGATCTACCATACTTGTCATACGTGATGGTCACAGTGTGTCTGTCTTCCCCCAGTGGGCAGTGATCATTAGGTCCTTACCGTGGGCTGGATGTTGTTCCTGTTGTACGTGCCTATACCCCAGCATAGCATGCAATGCATACACCCACACCTGACCCCTTGTCTTAACCCAGCAAAGTTCATAAAAGTGATGGATAAGAGGATAAATTTCTAACATTAATTTGGATTGGGCTTTTAATCAAACTTTACCTTCTTCTTTGCTGCCATTTCATTTTCTTTGTAAAGAAACAGATCTTTGAAAAAGATCTTATATGGCTTGTCCTTTTTGACTGAGTCATCTTTTCCTTTATCTGTTAAAAAAAAAAAGAAAAGAAAAAGAAAAACATCTGTCATCCCTGCTCTTCTGACCAGAAGGGCGAGGTTTCCACCAGCCAGAATGGAGCAGCTGGGTAGGTGGGTCCCTGGGAGGAGGACAAGGCAGCCTTTGCGTCTCCAACTGAGGCAGAGATTCAGGGCCTGCAACTCAAGGGCCAAAGACATGGCTCATCTGTTTGTTTTCCATGGCACCGAGCACAGTGCTTAATACTTCAGGGGGAATGAGTTTGTATTTGTTATGTGAATAGATAGGGGGACCTATTACAGGATAGTGGGATCATACTTTGAGGCATTAAGATTTTGCTTCTTCCCATCACTACAAATATCTGTACTATTACCCTTACACTGCCATTGCTGCCGTACCCTTAGGGACATCCTTGGTCCAGACTAGAGAGTCATCCAAAACACACACACACACACACACACACACACACACACACACACACAAAACAAAACAAAGATAATGACAAGTATTGGCAAGGGTGTGGAGGAATTGGAATCTTAACCTTCTGCTAATGGGAATGCAAAATAATGCAGCCACTTTGGAAAACAGCCTCAAAAAGTTGAGCATATATTTGCCATGTGACCCAGCCATTCCACTCCTAGAAATGAAAACATATGTCCATATGAAAACTTGTACATGAATATTTATAGCAGTATTATACATAATAGTCAACAGATAGAAACAACCCAAATATCCATCAACTGATGAATGGATAAACAAAATGTGGTATAGCCATACAATGGAATATTAATCATCCATACAAAGGATACATATTCTGACTGATGAAACTTGGAAATATTATATTAAGTGAAAGAAGCCACATGAAGTCCCTACATTATAAGATTCCATTATATTCCATGAAATGTCTAGAATAGGCACATCCATGGAGCCAAAATGTAGATTAGTGGTTGCTTAGGGCTGCAGGGGAGTTAGGGGGTTACGGCTAAGGGGTGCAGGGTTTCTTTCTGAGATGATAAAAATGTTCTAAAATGGTCTGTGGTGATGGTGGCACATATCTGTGAGTACAAACCATGGACTTGTATACTTAATAAAAGAGAAGCCTGGCCATAAGGGGACGGGTGATGAAAAGGGAGAGGAAGGTCCACTAAATTTCTGAATGGATTTTTTGTTTTTATTTATAAAATCTCAAATGATAAAAGGTCTTTCTCTTTTTCTTTCTTTCTGGCTTTTTAATGCTTGGGGGTGGAAATTTTGGCTTCAGAGACCAAGAGCCAAAAGCAGGAATTCTGGAGCTTAGAACTGACAACTTAAGTCAGAGAAAGGGAAAGGATAACTGAAAACACATCCCCCCTCCTGCCTCAGCCCCTGCACCCACTTTCACCTCCCAAAATACCAGAGTATTTTGAAAGTGGCCCTCATCTCTAAGTGGCTGAAAGATACAACAGGCATAGGAGTTATTGGTCTGGAGCTTAAAGGCTGCCTGAGAATTGGCTGTTTGCCCAGGGATTCAGTTGGGAAAGTGGGGGATGTCTGGGATAGAAACCTCAGGCAGGTTCATCTGTAGGTAATGGGTTAGGAAGAAAGAAAATTGCAGAGTGGAAGCTTTGAGCTCAACAGTGAGTGTGTGGTGTTCTGATCACCTCCGATTCACCTTGTGGGTAAAGGAAGGATCCCTTCCCCAAATAGTATGAGATGACCAAACATATGACACTCTACACTGGACTAATGAGATAGATAGCAGTTTATTAGTCACTTATACTCATAGCCCTGAGGAGGAGGACACCACCTGCCATGCAGGGCCATGTCAGGAGCAGAGTGAAACAGAGGGATGGCAGGAGGCAGGCTTTGTAGTAACAAGAGGGTGAGGTGCCCCCTGCTTCCCTCAAGAGGATGTAATTGACTTGTGGAACCCATCAGGATGAAAACCAGTAGAGTATAACTGGTCCAGCTGATGAGGAAATTGCTGGGTTGGGAACGTGTCTCACTGGGTGGAAGTCAAATCTGGCAAGAACAGGAAGACTTACAGTTAGGTCTTTGTGGCTCTGTGAGGCTCAAAGATGCCAAGGCAATACATGAAATCTTAGGCCTTATAATACATGAGCAAAGACAGGTGAGGGTGGGTCCAGGCAGCTGGGCTTGGAGACAAGCAGGAGTATGGAAGGGCATAGCCAACAGGCTAAGGCCCAAGAGGAGGCAACAGAAGTCAAAGACCAAAAGGGACTTGGGGTTGAGAGGCATACAGAGTTCATGACCTGTACCCAATACCACCACTCTCAGGCCAGAGCTAGACCCGACATCCCAGGATGGGACCACTGATGCCATCCAAAGGGTGATCATTGGTAGGCTGGACATCTCTCCCTCAACCAACCCTCTCTCCTCCCAAGATAAACCTCACAAACTTACTGTCCACCCCGCCCTAGGTGGCTTAAAGTCTTGAATCCTGTCCGACCAAGTTTCAGTGTCCTGGATTGACAAGATATTTTTTTTCCCCTCCAAGTCCAAAGCCAAGTTCCTTTTGGTTATAAAGAAATAGAAAAAACTAAACTCTAAACACCAAGTATATTAGTTTCCTATGGCTGCTATAATAAACTATAAATTTGGCAGCTTAAGACAACAGAACTTTATTCTCTCACAGTCCTGGAGTTCAGGAGTCCATAATCAAGGTGTCAGCAGGACCATTCTCCCTCCAAAGGCTCTGTGGGGGAATCCTTCCTTATCTCTTCGAGCTTCTGGTGGCTTCCGGCATTCATTGGCCATGTAACTCCAATCTTTGCTTCTGTGTTCACAGGGACTTCTTTTTTTCCCAAAGACACTTGTCATTTAGGATTTAGGGCCCACCGTAAGTCCAGGATGATCTCGTCTTGAGGTCCTTACCTCAATTACATTTGAAAGACCCTTTTGCCAAATAAGGTCATATTGCAGGGGTTAGGACACGGAGGGCTACCATTTTGGAGGGACCACTTTCAACCCATTCTAACAAGTTTTTGTTATAAAATTGTCATAAACTGAATGAGTGAATTATAAACTCACTGTAAGCACTGGCCCTTAGCCAACCCTTCTCCCCACCTGAATCACTTCCTAGTCTCACAGAAGTGGGGCTGCTATAACAAATCACCACAAAAGGGGGGCCTTAAAACTGCAGACATTGATTCTCTCACAGTCCGGAAAGCCAGAAGTCTAAGATGAAGGTGTTGGTTTGGTTCCTTCTGGAGTTTCTGTGGGAGAATCCATGGCATGACTTTCCCCGAGCCCATGGAGAGTGCCTACAGACTGCCTGTTACCTATAACACACTCATGGTGTTATCCAATGTTCAAAGCTTTGTCAAATTTGTAAGTGACAAAGAAGTTATTCTTCTATACCAATAAATATGAATTCCTTGTATACTTGTACAGAATCAGGAGGAGGAGAGAAAGGCTGGAAAAGGAAAGGAGAGGACAGATTTTGATAAAATGTAGTTATTCATGTCCTTTATTATGACAAATAATTGAATTAATTGTCTTATGCTATGAAATTCCCTAGCAATCTAGCTAAATATGACCATTTATTGCCTCTCTGATGTGAAGATTTTTCTTTGCAGAATTAAAAAGTGGAAGAGAACCTTCTCAGCAGGCCATTCATAAACTCTTTACGTAGAAAGGCCATGTCTGATGCTTGTCGTTTGGTATTTTCCTTTTCTACGTTCCCTGATCTACTGGGGAGACCGACCGTACCAGGCACAAAGTAAGAGCTCATTGACAGATTTCCTCTTTACCTTCAGAAGCCAGTGATATCGGCAAAAAATAGGACATTTTGTCTCCTGGCCCTGTCCAAAGAAAAAGCAAGACATTAAAAATAAATTCTGTAAACCTGAGCATCGGGTGATGTATCACTAAATGGTACACCTGAAACTAAGAGAACATTGCATGTTAACTAACTGGAATTGAAATAAAAATTAAAAAAAAAAAAAAATTCTGTAAACCTTGAGTAAAGGGGCAAATTCATCAGCCAGTGATTCCAAGTAGCCTTCATTGCTTTTAAAAGCACAACCTCTTTGGCCCAGCAATTCCAAATCTGGGAACTTATCCCAAGAAAATAATCGGGTAAGTGGGCAAAAATAGTATGTACAATAATGTTTGTTGACGTGTTATTTAATAAACAGGGAGTTGATTAAATAACTCTGGTATACCCATAACACGGATTGCCCCGTGGCCCCTCAAAATAGTTCTGTAGTCACTATTCCCTCTGTTAACTATATATTAAAAGTGAAAAACAAAATATTTCAAAAAGGTGGGAGTAGCGTGGATAAAAAAACACCTGCCAAATCAGATGTTTTGAAAAGTTGTTCACCCAACATTAATAGGGGTTGTCTTTGATTTGGAGCAACCTCTCCTTGCATTTCTATCAGGTTTGGGATTAGGGTTAGGTGCAAAATTCAAGGAAGTGGCCCCCAAAACTCAGTTATCAAAATAAATAAAATGTTAATGCAATTTTTTAAAAATTCCAAGTCAGTGCAGGAAAAAAATCCATGGTGAACAAAATATCAAGACCTTAAATACAGACAGGATCTGACTGTGTGCCCCATGACCCGGAGAGCAAGCCCCTCCCTTGCCACACCTTCGTCCGGGCCCACAGATCTCGCCTTTATGTACTTTTTTGACATTTTGTTCATCATGGAATTTTTTGCATTAACTTTTATTTTTAAAAGTAGTGAATTAAAATGTTGTTTGTGTTTGCCCTCCCCTTTAGGTTTTGCACCAAAGGTAAATGTTTCCGTTGCTTCACCCTAATCCTTGTCTTGAATTTTTACACTTTTTTAATATTAATTATTTCTCAATGAGTTTGCACAATTTTTACAATAAAAAAAGTAACAATGTTATTTTCATTGGGGGAAGAAAAAGGATATTCAGGAATTTATATAAAAAGGTGTGCCCACACCAGGAACAACGGGACAAACAGCCTGTTTCAGGTTGCCTGTTTAAATTTATGCCTCAGTTCTCTCAAAGAGCCACGTTGAAGAGACTCCCAGAGGCATTTGTAGAAGATGATTAAAGATCCAGACTTTGGAACAGAGAAGCCTGTTGGTTTGATATTTACAGATGTGTGAGCAAGATCATTTAACATTCAAAAAATATTTATTGAGTATCTGCTGTGTGCAGGCATTGTTCTGGATGCCAGAAACAGGATAATTTAAAAGCGATGACAACAATAACAAAAGACAAAAAAAAAAACAACAAAAAAAAACACACACTTTCTACGTGGGGCCTACATTTTAATTACTTAGCAGCTCTGAGCCTCAGGTTCCTATTCCATAAAATGGGAATATAATCTCACCTCTTAAAGCTTTTTAAAGGATGCGATGACATAATGTGTGTAAACAACCAAGCAGGGCACCCCTAACACCCAGAGCAAACTCAGTAAGTGGGAGAAATTTTGTGCTAATATTGACCAAGGAGAATGTGATTTTACTTCCAGTGATTATAAAAACAAAAATGAAAAAGAGAAAAGAAATTATGTTAAAGCTTGTAAAAGAAAAAGATTAACAAAAACCTACGTCATTGATATTATACTTTTTCAGATTACTGAAGATTTTTTTCCCACAGGCATTGAGTTCATTCTGACAGTGGAAAAGAAGGGTCGGTGAAAAACTGATGACAATCTGTTGGGTTGATGTATTTGGAATCTGGATGGCCAATATTAGGAGGTTTTTGTATATTTACACACGCTGTACTCATCTAAATCCCTAAGATTCTGCTCACCTCTTTCTTGACATACTTTTAATCTTTCAATTCTCTTATCTATCTAAATTCACCCCCCTATCCATCCCTACTTTCATTCACTTTATCCTAAGTCTATCTGCAACAAAAATCTTTATCCATGGATTCTGGCACCTTTTCCCTCCTAGAAAGACCAGAATTTTTCATTCTTCTAAACCAACTGCTAGAGCTCTGATTCTAGCTCTCCAATAATTCAGAGAACATGTTGAATGGAACCAGTAATCTCCAGAAGTTGTTATACTTCTATACTTATGTACCTTTAATCTCCCTATTGATTAATGAAGGGTTGGTGAAGAACAGAAGAGAGAAGAAGAGAGCTAGCTATTCCTAGAAGGGATTATAAGTTTCTCTGAACTAAACCAATATGATGTGCCAATCAGGAAAAGAAAGTCAAAGTCAGTGAATGTCTTTGTTGTACAAAATAAAAATAGCATGACTAAACAAATCTCCGTACTGAAATAGAGGGAAAATGTCATTGGATTGCATAGCAAATGCCTGCAAATTCACATCTAAAATATATGTTTAAAAATATATATATGTTCAAATCCAACTTCTGACAGATGAAAAAGATGAAGAGCTCAGAAAAATGAGGGCTTTAAAATGGTGATGTGTGACTTCAAGCCATTGTTTTCAGAGGTGGCAGAGGCTAGTGGTGAAGAGCATGGACTGTCATTATGCTCCTTAATCCCCACGCTTCAATTTCCCCATCTTTCAAAAGGGCGGATAAGAATAGCATCTACCTCATGAGATGGTTAGGTGAGTTAACATGTGTCCCTCACTTTGCACAGCATCAGGTGCTCAGTGAGCACCATAGCAGTGTAAGCCCATGGGGAAAGCATTCTAAAGAGGAAGGATGCCTGGTGTATTTGAGGAACAGCAAGGAGATTCGTGGAACTTAAGCCTAGTGAACAAAGCACGGAGTGATAGATGAGCTCAGAGAGATCTCGAGGGCCCTGTGGGTCATTTCCTCAGTGAAATGAGAATCTGGAATGGACCACTCTGTCTGCTGAGCTGGGAAGAGACTGTACACGAGGGTGAGGGTGGAGTAAGGCCACCTGTTGGGAGGCTACAGTCATTGGGAGGCAAGAGATAATGGAAGTGGTGAGAGGTGGTCAGATTCTAGATACATTTGGAAAGTAGAGCCTACAGGACTGGCTCATGGTTTGGGTGTGGGGTATGAGATAAAGAGCCCAGGAAAGAAAGAATGGAGTTGTGATCCATAGAGACAGAGCGGCTGTGGGGGAAGGGGCAACTGGGAAGATCAAAGGTTCAGCTGGGAACATGTTACATTTGAGATATGTTAGACATCTATTAAAGGGATGTGGGTGTAAAATATACTGTTCTCCCAAGTGAACACCATACCGGTTGATTTAATTAATGCTAGCATTCTTCTAACATTATGAAATTATATGTGGCCTCTGAGTCAGATTTTTGATACGTATCATCACAGGGGTAGCATGGATGACCCTATGGAAAGACCTTGGCCTTGACGGCAGACAGGTTTGAATCCTGCCTCTGGCTCTTATCAGCTCTTTCTCTTAGGCCTATCCAATGAAACTCAATGCAACTTAGGTTCTTCTATCTGGTATGGATACTAATATCTTCCTTAACAGGCTTGTTGCAATTTTCAAACACAGGCAATGCATGCAATGTGCCCACTCACGATAGGCTGATAGGGAAATAATTGCCTATAATTTCTTCAAGGCAGATATCCAGATCTGTCTTCTCCCTAGTCTGCTGTGTCTTGTGAATAACCACCAGCATTTGAAAAGGAGGGGTAACTGACAACCAGCTTTCCTAAGAAACCCTGAACTCAAATTCTCAAAACCAGTTCATTGGAGAGGAATCTACCAGCAATATCAGTGCAAACGTGGGGAACCTGACCCATCTTCGTGCACATTCTTAACATTCCAAGCTTCATGGAAGTGGAAAAAGAGGAATGGGGTTTTATAATGCCCAATCCCAAAGTCCAAGACCAACTCCAAATACAATGAACAGTAACAGTATCTACCAGATATTATTCGAAGCAGTTTCTGCTTGACTTTCTCAACAACTCTCTCTGCAACTCAGTGAAAATGGATTTCCAGTTTCTCAGTAGGAGATAAAAAGCTTTGTTTATCTCCCATATGCAAACAAAGATTTAGACAGATTCAGACCTAAAGCCTTTCTGTTTTTGCCCACCTCCTTCCCACCCACTTGGACAAATACTAGGAGAAAGGGCTGTAAACTGTGTCCTTGGATGGTGTGGGGAGACCAGAGCTAGCAATTTTTTGTTTACCTGAGAGCCAGGAGCCACTAGGTCCTTGGCCGGCTCAACGACCTGCCTCTTTTGATTGGGTCAGAAGCAGAGCACGGGGACGAGGAAATTACCTTCAGCTCGACCTTTAAGGCCCTGCTGGCGTATTTTGTGTGGACTTTCCTGTTGACATTTCTGACTGCCCCTTTTGCAAAATGAAAACAAAACAAAAAAAGCAAAAAACACCTGGGGGCCAAGAGGAAGGAGGAGAACAGGAGAAGACAGCCAATGTAAGATGATGTAAAAAGTACTGCGTGAACTGAGAAGTGCTATGGGGGTGTTGGTTATCACTGAGGAAATTATCTAAACTATGTATTTTAAAATGACCAAGGGGGAGAGAAGCCCACTCTTGTCCTTCTTGCTTCTGCAAACTTCTTGTTTGCAGGGGCTTTTCAGGCCATGTTGGATATCTGGACTGTCATCAACGCACTCCGTTCACCCACAACTCAACAGCCCCGTGAATAGAATGACCATTTCCTTTTGACTTCACCAAAACTTGAAAGCTTTCAGTTCATGGTACATTCTGTGAACTCCTGGCTGAGATCTCTTGAATTTAACTGACCAAGGGGAGAAATAACAGGATGAAAATAAACCAGCAGCAGCGGCCGCAGTAGTAATAGTATAATAATAATAATAATTACACCTATTATTTAGAGCTAGGCACTGGGCAAAGTGTTTTCCATTTCATCTTCTCTAAAGCTCAAACAAGTCCATAAAATAGAAAGAAACAATTACCCCATGAGAAGATGGATGAGAAAACTGAGGTTTGGGAAAATTAAGGACATTTCCCAAGGTCAAATAGCTCATAAGTAACAGAGTGGGGTTAAGACCAGTTTATGGAACCCAAAGCCTTCTATATTTTTATAATGTCACCCCTTCCTTTACCCCTACAACTTCATAAATCTGCACATATGCCTGTAATTGCAAAATGGAACAGATTCAAGTCTAATAAAAGTGTATAAAAAAATAAAATAATTAAGACGTAAAACCCAGTGCCTGCCAATGTTTTCACAGCAGTTGAGAGGTGAGAAGAGATGTGGGTGAGAATTACAGACCATCTTCCTTAAATAAACTTGTTTCCGTCTCCAACCTTGGCGGCAAATTGAGAGTAGGCGCCCCCAGATACAGCTGGGGTGGGGGGGGCGGACACGGGGCTGAAACCACGTTTACCTGCAAGAGTTTGGATCCAGGAGCCCGTCCAAACCTATCCTTCAGGAAGGCGTTAGCGGACGCTGGGCAGAGGCACCAATGATTTCTCTAGTCTCGGCTCTATCCTCCCCCGCCAGGATCCCCCTTCATCTCGGGGACCTTCTGGTAGGGGATCCCGGAGCGGAGCTGGCCAACCGAAAATTGTGCGCGGCACCCGCCACCCTGCTCCACGGCCGCGCGGACCCAGGAGCAACTCACCGACCGCACCCCCTTCCTCCTCACCCTCGGGTTCCCTCTGCCGGCCGCCCGTCGCGTCCCAGCCCGCTGGGCCGGGGCTCCCCGACGCTGCCCCTCCCGGGTCTCTATGCTCGGTTCCCGCCCCGGCCCCTGGGGAGAGGTTTGCCCCACTCAGCCCCATCTGGGCTCCCTGGCCCTTCGGGGACCCCCCTTCCGCCTGGCCCTGTGGTCAACGGAGCCCGGTAACCCAGCTTCAGTTTCCTAATCTAGAAATTAGGGACAGTGGTCTCCACGACATTTACCCAGAACATTGGGCGACCAAAAAAGAGCTTCCATGATCGCGATTATTACTAATCCTCACTCGGGTTATTGGCACCCGCGCTACCGCGGCGCCGGCCTGGGGGAGGCGCGCTCTCCGGGGCATCTGGGCAGGGCGGCGGCGGCGAGCGCCCGCCCCGGCTCCACCCTCCCTGCCCCGCGGCACCGCCCGCCGACCCGCGCCCTCCACCGCCCGCCCGCCCGCCCGCCTGCCCCGCGCTCGGGCCCGGCGGCCTCCCGGAGACCCGCGGCGCGCGGCGACATGGCCGGCGGCCACCGCCTCCTGCTGGAGAACGCGCGGCAAGTGGTGATGGTGTGCGGCCGCGGCGAGCGCTTCCTGGCGCGGGACGCGCTGCGCAGCCTGGCCGTCCTGGAGGGCGCCAGCCTCGTGGTGGGCACGTAAGTGGCCGCGTGCTGGGGGCACCGGGCAGCCGAGGCCAGGCCTGGCCCCCTTTCCCTAACTTGGGCGCTGTGGAGGGAAGCGGGTAAAAGCTTTCCCGCATCCAGGGAGCCACCGCGGGCCTGTCTTTCAGGCACCTGTTGCTACCTACCTTGTGTGACAGCTTCGGGTAGTCATTCGGTGAAAAAACAAACAAACAAACGCTCTCAGGCTGAACCCCCGTCCCTCTTCCCCTCTACCCCCAGGTCTTTGGAATCAGCATCTCTGGGGTGGAGTTCTGGGACTTTGAATTTTTACAGAACACCCTCCAGCCCAACCCCCTTTGTATACTAAATTTGAGAACCACGGAAGACGTTCAGATCGTGATGGTTTGGGGCTGATAAGAAATTCAGAAAAAGAGGACATTTTCAGTTGTTTTTTCATTTAACCCTCTGTGCTTCCTGCTAGACGTGACTAAAAGAACAGCCAAAGTTTGGGAGGGGGAACCTGCAGTGGGAGTGGGGCTCCGATGCCGATTTGAATTGGAGAGCCCCGCCGCACCGCGATCGCGCAAGACGGCCTCAGCCCTTATCTGAGGCTGCTTAGGGTTGTGCAAGAGTCCAGCTTTTAGGGACCGTGTGTTTTTAATTAACAAAGGGATAAAAACATTCCCAGTGTTACTGTTAAAAATTTGTTAAAAACCAGTTAACTGGGGAGAGGTTTGCCCCACTCAGCCCCATCTGTGCACAGAAGTGCACAGAGGTAGGAATCCAGGGCTAATTGATGGCCATACTCTATGGAGTTCTGAGGCCCTACTATGTTCCTCTGCTCTGCACAACCCTTTCTCACTCCGTCATCCAAGATGGCTACTCCACCTCTCCTTATGGCGTCTACCTTCCAGACAGTGGAAAATAGGACGAGAAAACAGACCTATTGGTTAGAATTTAGTCACATGGCGGCACCTGGATGACGGGAAACCCAGAAATGTAGGCTTTATTCTGGGTGTTCATGTGTTCAGCTAAAATTTAGGAATCTAGCACTGTGGGGAAAAGGGAACATTGATCTTGGGGAGCAACTAGCCATCTCTAAGTATACATATGATTTGACTCTTTGGCTTCCATGCCGCTGCAGTCATTTTATTTTCTTCAAAGACACAGATGCAAGAAGGAAATAGAATATATGTTGACTGATACCAAAAGACATGGGCAACATATTTTAAATCCTTAGTCAGCTTTTCCACAGTATTTCCCCAAACTTTGGTAATTATTTCTTGATTTTTCTTCAGGGATGGGCTTATAAAAGCCATTGGTCCTGCTGATGCGATCCAAAAAATGTTTTCCGAAGAAACGTTCGAAGAAAGAATTGACTGTTCTGGGAAATGCATCTTGCCAGGTATTAACCTTTTTTTTCAGTAAAGCCCTGCAACTAGTTTTAGTAATGTAAAGAGGAAGAGTGGCAGCTTCTTTTAAATAGGGTCTCAAAATAATATTAAAATATAATAATAGCTACTGTGCATTGAATTTCTACTACTGAATGTCTAGGTGCTTTGCAAACATGTTTTCACCTTGAATCCTTCTAACTGCCCTGTAAGGTAAGTATCCTTATCTACGTGTTACGGATTAGAATACTCCAGTTTAGGGATGAAATATCTTACCCAAGATTGCTGGACAGGGAAAGGGCAAGCTGGGAATCAAACCCACTCCTTATGTCACTTTGTCCCACTCACATGCTGAAGAGAAACCGGTTGTGTTGTGTTTAGGTTCAAAAGCTGTTGGAAGAACTTTACTAATCTACTTCATATGGGATGCAGAGAGGGCAAGCTGCTGCTTCTAATACTAGAATAGATTCTAAATTTACATGGAGTGTGAAACAACACATCTCTAGGCCAAAAAGTAGGGGAGGAGGGAATCCCTAGAGATTTCACTGAAGTTTATTTATATCTTAATGATTGACAACAAAATCGGTTTGTTAACCATCATCTCCCACATTATGTTTTCTGGCTTCATGAAATCCTCTGAAACGAGTTTCACAAATTTTGAGTCCTACACAAAACATAGAAGCTAAGATTTATATTTTTAAAATGTCTACTATGCGTATCTGATAGAGCTTCTATTTTCCAACTCTTGGGAGTCAGGAAATAAAGTCAGAGTGCAAGCTTATGAAAAAGAGCAGAAAATACTAGAAAGCGATCTGAGTAGAGATTCTTGATTTTTCGTCCAATCAGAACCACTAATGAGACATTTAATCCACTTAATCCAGGTATTTTAATATTATGGATTTAATCCATTTAATCCAGGTATTTTAAATATTATGGAAAGCCACACTTCACTTGAGTTGTGAACCGTTTGGATAAACAAACGGTTCACACGATTGCTTTATAGTTTCTCTTCAATTAAACTACATTTCTTTTTTGAAGGAAGATTCATATTTCTGATTTCATCTTTTTCCTTCTCAAAGTTGGGAGAGATTGTATTCTGTTTTCACACCCAGATTATTCCTTGGTGATATAGTCCGTGGTTTTGCTCAACTAATAGATACGACATCCTGTTTCAAAAGCTTGCTTGGTGAGCGTGGACTTAGTGGGCAAAAGGAGCTGTATTTCTTTAATGGATATTCTCATCATGCCAAGTCACCCTCTTCCATTAAAGCCTTCTAGACCAACCATGCCGAGAGTCTGCTTGTCTCCTGTCTGTGGAGGGAACCTACAGACAAATCCCTCGTCCCCCACCCTCCTCCAAGAGGGCTGACCATCATCTTGTTTTCCCAAGAGTGGTACAGGATAGTCTGCCTGCTATCTAAGGGCTTTCTGTTTCTCAGCTTTAAAGATGATTTGATTTATTGATTACAGGTTTGGTGGATGCACACACACATCCAGTATGGGCTGGTGAAAGAGTTCACGAGTTTGCAATGAAGGTAACTGCAGTAAATGATGACAAATCAAAATAAGGCACAAATACAGACAGGTCTTTTTCTAAAGAGTTGATAGGCTATCAGGCTTTGCAACATATGCCTAACATTTCTTTTTCATGGATATTTTTACTGGCCTGGACTATGGAAAATAAATTGCAAAAAAAACTAACTTATAACTGTCCAAATACTTTGCACAGGCCCAGCAATCATTATAATAGTTTTCAAAGATTTTTAGCTGTAGAATCCTTACATATGTATGTATGTATGTTTTAGAATCCTCCCTTTAAAAAAATGCTGAGCTGCCTTGGGGCACCTGGGTGGCTCAGTTGGTTAAGCGTCTGACTTCGGTTCAGGTCCTGATGTCAGGCTCCTGGGATCGAGCCCCCGGTTGGCCTCAGCACTTGGCGGGGAGTCTGCTTGTCCCTTTCCCTCTCCCTCTGCCCCTCCCCGCCTCACTCTCTCTCTCTCAAATAAATAAATAAAATCTTACCAAAAAACCCCTAAGACCCAAACACAGAGCTGAACTGCCTTGCTCACTAGTTCCTCCTCTCTTTCCCTTCTCCCATTTCACTTCTCCACCCCTGGGGGGTCTTTGAAGGGGCTCCAGGATACAGTTTGAAACTCACCATTCATTGGTGAGTTATTATTCATAAAAATAAATTAAGTCTTGTATTTTTCCCCCCAAAATGAGACTTATTAAGAAACATAAAGTGTAGTCTATGTCACAAGTCATTAATTAGCCAGGGCCAACCCTCAAATCTATGTTTGGAGCCATTTTCACATTGTTTCTTTCTAATAGATTTTATTTTTTAGAGCAGTTTTAGGTTCCTAGCCAAGTTGAGTGAGAGGTACAAAGATTTCCCACATACCTGCCCCCACACATGGACAGCCCCCCGCTATGATCAACATCCCCCACCAGAGCAGTACCTTTGTTACAGCTGATGAGCCTACATTGACACATCACTGTTATCCAGAGTCCATAGTTCTTACTGGTGTTTTCTCTTGGTGCTGCACATTTTGTGGGTTTGGACAAATGTATAATGACACATATCCACCATTATAGTATCATATAGTATGGTTGAACTGCCCTAAAATTCCTGTGTGCTCTGCCTATTCATCCATCCCTCCCTGAACCCTGATAACCACTGACCTTTTCACTGTTTCTTTCTTTCTTTTTTTTTTAGATTTATTT